AGGCCTTAACTAACAGACTGTGTCTAATCTGACTGGAGGGCAGATGTGCTGCTGGAACACAAAAAATAAGAAAAGGAGATGACATCTTGAATCTTTCCAGTGCTGTGGGTTTTTCCTGCCCTGAACGCCAGATACTGTTTTAGTTACTCAGGTTTTTGCTTCCATTCACTCTCTTCTCTCCTGTGCCAGTCAGTCAGTTCTCTCTGAGATATCCTTTGGCATGTCCTCTTCAAAAGCACTGCTACTGTCAGTGACATAATCCTGCTATTCTCTGTTTAACTGTCTAAAACTCAGAGGGGAAAGATTACTTCTTCCTCTTGTTCTGTCTTGAAGGGAAAATTTGAGCCAAGACCAAACCTTGGCCATCAGGTGTTGTTTTCCCCTCGGTCTTGGCTGAGCATCCATTGTCATCTCGGGTCAATGGAGATGTATTTACCCAGTTGTATGAAAGAAACAACTAAAAATGAAAATGCACCTGAAGTCTCTTCTAGGTTGAGCAAGAGGGAGGTATCATTTGGGACTTACATCTGCTGCTGTGAAGCACTGCTCTTGTGCTGGTAGCAGGACAATAGGCAGGCCTGGGGTATCTCTGTTACTCTAATCTTTCTTCTGTCAAATGCAGTGGCCAGGTAGTTTTAGCATAGCTTGAAACATGAATGAGCGTTTTTCTGTAATGTGGTGGTTGTTGTGTCCTCTTGTATTGAAGTTCATGCAGCAAGGCCCAGCCTGTTGCTGCCTAGAGCCCTGCTTGCTGCTCACCAGCAAGGCACCTTCCTTCTCCTCCTCTGTATAAAATGGCTGCAGAACTCAGCAGATGGGAGCAATGGCTTGCTATGTGTGGGTCTGATTTCTCTGCCAGAGAGAAAGTTGTATATTACTACTTAGCAGAGTTGGGATGCTAGGAAGGGGTTGTCAGCACCTTATAGCCCTCTTCCATTTAATTCATGTAAAACTATAGGCCCTGTCGCATCAACAAAACTAAGGGAAAGGATTAGTTTCTGCTCTCAGGTGCCTATTTCTGAGATGAGGAACAACTGGATGATGCAGTGGCTTAGAGGTAGGTATTGTCTTATACCATCAAGCAGCTAGGCAGCATCTAGTTTCTCAAAGATGCAGAGCTTGAAGGAGTTTCTGATAAAATTATCTTAATTGACACTTTGTGATACCTCCAAACATCCTTATTGGCTCTTTATCTCTTAGGCAGACAGAATGTGATACATTCTCAGAGAAGTCTGTATTTAATACAACAAGCATATTAGATCAGTAAAAGCTATTGTGGGGCAATGCAGTTGAGCTGCTTTTAAGCCCACCTTATGTTCTGACATACTGCAGTTGGTAGTAAATGCTGGTGTTTCAGTTTATTTGAATAGTATGCCATTTTTAGATTTCATACACAGTAATTACATGGAGTGTGGCAACAGCTCTGTTTGGGTTCACGTAATGATAACTGAGGTATTGATTTTGTCAGTAGAGAAATCAGCATAAGATTCCTCACTAAGAGTGTAAGACTGACCAAGAGAACAATTGATTTCATGGTGTGAAACTGAAAAGCATTTAGATGGACAGGGGTGTCAGTCATGGAACTCAAAAAGCTCATGGCTTCTTTAGACATTCAGTGACTTGGAAATGTGTTAATTCTAATGGAGTAAATGACGTCAGGTTGGTGGCTGTTGTGTGATGGTTATTTTATTCTATCTGGTTGTTGCTGTGCAAGTGTTTTTAGTTCAGTTCTAGGTACAGCTCTGGTCTTCCTAGCCCTGAAGCATGTATGCAGAGTGAATGATATTCTTAGTATCCTTGCAAAGGTTCAGGAATATATTCCAGAATAGGTTGTTTTACTCCCTATTTCTGTGGGGATGTCATTAAAACAAACAGTATTTGACAGTCTCTTTGGTATTAATTCCTCTTCCACTCATAGGAGGGGGAGGCAGAAGTGATGAGAAAAGCTGGTGTAGGTTGTGCCTGTTGCTCCCTTCACTGCCAAAAAGAAGGCAGCTTAGACCTCTGGAGACAAAACCAATCTGTGCAAGGGAGTGAAAAATGTGTGGATGTTTCTTTGGCCAAAAGTGAAACAAAGCAAACAAAAAAACCCAACCACCTCACAACAGCTTATCTGCTCTTCATTAGCTATTTTGAGACCTGTCAAAATGTTCTGGCTTAGGTTTCTTCACAAATGCTATTGTATATGTTCTGTGTTAACGTGTTTACAGCAATAGCAAAAACTGCTAGCTGGAAGGTAGGGTGATTACTTTGGAAAAGGCTGTCAGGTGGTGATACAGTTGAAGATGGTATTTGTGTTGATTCCCTGAGGGGAATAAGTTGTTCATTTAACTTGCTCACTGTTGAAGGCCTGAAATTATATACTATGGGGCGTCGAGTCTGTATTTTGTACTTGAAAGAGCTCACTATTTATGCTGTATGCTATGAGTTGTTAGCTGTATGTGTGTTCAGTTTTGCATGGCTCTTCTGGCTCATAGTAAAGGTGTGGGTTGTAGCTAACATAACTTCAAAAACACCCCAAAATCCTCTCTGTGAGCTCTACTTCCTTGTACGGGTGGCCAAGAAAGCCATCTTGGCTTGTATCGGGAATGGTGTGGTGAGCAGGACTAGGGAAGTAATTCTGTCCCTGTACTTGGCATTGGCAAAGCTTCACCTCAAGAACTGTGTTCAGTTCTGGGCTTCTGGGCGTCTCCGTACAGAAAAGGACACTGAGTTGCTGGAGCAGGTCCAAAGAAGGGCTTGGAGAACAAGGCTTGCGAAGGGTTTGGATCTCATGCCCTATGAGGAGAGACTGAAGGAACTGGGGCTGCTTAGTGTAGGGGAAAAGGAGGCTGAGGGGAGACCTTATTGCTCTCTTCCATTATCTGAAAGGTGCTTACAGCGAGAGCAGGGTTGGTCTCTTCTCACTGGTGACAGGATGAGTGGAAATGGCCTCAAGTTGCATTGGGGTAAGTTTAGGTTGGATATCAGGGAACACTTTTTACAGAAGAGGTTGTGAAGCACTGGAATAGGCTCCTCTGGGAGGTGGTTGATTCACCATCCCTGGATGTGTTTAAAAGCCATTTGGATGTGGTGCTCAGGGATATGATTTAGCAGAGGGTTGTTAGAATTAGGGTAGTATGGTTACATTGTGGTTGGATTCAATGATCTTTAAGGTCTTTTCTAACCTGAGTGATTCTATGATTCCATGTCAACTAAATATCACTGGGCAGATGCAGGGCATGCTATGTAAATATGAGTTTATCCTCATTTTGTTGATATGGTATACAACATAATCAGTATAAGGCAGCCATCATAGTTGGCACATTGCTCTGTGTTCTGTATGTTGTTACAACCAGTGGCAGCTTGCTCCAGGTTGATCAGAGGTGTTAAAATGTTCTACTTATGTATTTTAGGGTCTTAGATACAGTCCACTTTCAGGGCTTGCTGGGGAGTAGGAAATAACACAGGGGCTGTGCTAGTAGAGTTGATATTTTAAAGCTGGTTTGCAGAGCTTTACAATCTGACTAAAAAACTTGTTCTTTACAAAAATACTCCATTTTAAGGTAAATGGTAGATGCTGTATTTTTCTTTTACAGAAATGAAGTCTGCCCTATCTCTTAAAGAGGAGAGAGGGGAAATAAGTTATCCACATTGTTGATGCCACTCACCAGTTCATACAGGCACAAAGCTAGTCATTGGATTTGGTGACTTCTGTTTTCTTTTTTTTTAAACAAATGTGAACAGCTGTTTGCTTTCAGATATTATTTACCAGAAGTGGCCAGAATTGAAGTGGTTTCTACTTAAAAAGTGCTGATAGAGTGAAGCTAGAGCTGCTTGGGTGTAATTTTAAAAATATTTTAACAATACTGGCTTACCCCTGTTCCATGTCCCCACCACCACCTGTGCAGCCCCATGGTAACAAAATGATGCAGGACAGGACACAGAGCAGGGACCATTTGTGTTCACATGGACATGGAGTGGTGCACAGCTGTGGTCTGTGCTGAAGCCCACCTGTGTTCATGTGTAATGTCCCCACTGCCTTTACACTGCTTGTGCAACTGATATGTGGTCTAATAGGCAAATGTGGAAGAAATAAAGCTTTTTTTATCTGCTGCAGTTAGTGTATTTAATAGCCCTGCATGGAAAAATTCATTTTCACCTCTTGAAACAATGGTGTAACTCTAGTGCTTGTCTTTTTGATCTCAAGCTAATGTCCTGCTGCTGCAATGGAGTAAGTGTTGTGGTGGGTTTGGTTTTGTTTTTTTTGGCAGGAGGGGGTGGGAGCAGTACTGTGTTTTTGTAGTTTCTCTTGGTTGTTTGGGTTTTTTTTTTTTTTGTTTTGTTTTGTTTTTTTTTTTTATACTGTTTCACAGGGGAAAGAAAGGGGGGAAAAAAAAAGTGGGGGAAAAAAATCAGGACAAAAGCCTGTGGATTAGGCACGTAACTAGAATTGTGAGCCTTTAAGGGCATGTACAGAAACTGCTTACACAGATGATGTTTCTGGTGTGAGAGACTGTCAGTAGGAGAACTGAGCTTAGCTGGTTTTTGGGGAACCATGCAGGCAGAATGTAAGTAAATGAATAGCAGGCACAGTGCTGCCCTAGAGTGGGCTCCTGTGCTGCAGGGATCAGCTGCAAGCATGGAAATTAGTACAGATTTATAATGCTGTCTACCTTTCCTTTGCTTGAGAGAGACTCTTGTGAGTAGTATAGAATACTTGTGGCTATTGGAAAAGTAACCGGCTATAATATAGCTTGCATTTGAAGGAAAATCTTGCATAGCTCTTGGAAAAGAGTTAATGATTTAAAAAAAATAAATAAATGAAAAACAGCACAACATGTGTCTGACTGTTAATAGGGACTTTTACTTACTCATTGCTGAACAGCATAATTTAAAAGATCATAAAGATCTGGGTACAGAGGAATTATAATTATGATAGTTCATTTAAGGTACCTAAATATGTATATGCTGGTCCTTTTGTGGTGCATTGGCAGTAAAAGAGAATGAGCCATTGTTGCTACATTTAACACTTGTACATTTTTATTTAGTTAAATCAGCCATTGTACACATTGCAGCTATGTATTGTTAGTGTTGTATTTTTTTTTTTTTTTTAATTTTTAACTAATACATGCCCTCATAGATATATTCAATTAGTGTTATCACCATGGGAACAAGATGCTGATTCATCAACTTAAAATTCACTTCTTCTCACAGTATTCAAGTTCTTTGATAACACAGCAAAAAAATCAAAATAAGAGGTGAATAACCATTATGTTGTTACACAGAACATCATCTGCACCGCAAATAACACAACAGAAATGCATTTCTTTAGAGCCCCATTCTTGAAGATCATCCTGTGCTTTGACAATAAGAAAGCCATCGATGTATCATGAAATGTTTCATCAAGGGTCTCATTCATTTTGGCTGCCAAAACACTTTTTTTTTTTTTTTCTGCCTGCCTGCCAAAAAAAAGTGTTAGCATGGCACCTCAGGTTGCTTTGTCTGCAGGAAGCCTCAGCTCCCAAGATGTGCTCATGCTTTTGGCATCGGAACTTCAATGAGAAGTGCCCTTCCTTATTCTGAGCACTGAGTGAGTCACAAACCCAAACCATAATCATAGAAGGCCAGGTAAGCTTGGAAAAAGCATTATTCTTAAGGGAGAGTATTTGTTTTTAATCTGTTCTTGAGTATGCTATTAAAAAAAAAATCAAATAGCTGTTCAAAAACCTTTAGTGTGTTTGCAGGTGTAATATATTCTAAAATGCTGCAGAGTGCTCACCTTTAAATGTTAAGGTATAGAATACCAAATATGGCAGGTCTTTGTTCCCTTTTTTAAAGTAAAAGTGCATGCATGCTATCGTGATTTTTTCAGAGGGTAGATTTAGAAATATATATTATATATAGATAGGTAACAAAATATGAACAGAAACTGGCTTTCGAGGATAGTGAGCACTTTCTCTTTAAAAAACATTTGAAAGATAAAAACTGCTCGCTCAGTGCTTGGAGGGCTAGAGTAGGTTGACACAATTACAGGAGGTTTGGTTTTGACCTTCAAATGCCACATGCATGTATCTGATAAGAGGCAGTCTTGATTAAAACATGGTGAATTAATTATTCTTTTCATATAGTGTAAGTCTTTCTCCCATAGTTATCTACAGTGCAGTGGCCAGTAGGACAATGTGGTTTGCTAAAGCAGTGATGAAAACAGGAAACTACTGTAGTTATAATTGTTTAATACACCCTGCCACATGTCCAGATCTAAAAGATTTTAATACCGTATGCAAATGTGCCATAGATATAGCTGCTAGCAAGTTGGTTACCTAATTGGATATTTTTAATTACTTTTTTTCTTTTCTGGAAATCTTGAAGTGGCTGTCCAAAGGTCTTAAAAGTATCGATGGCCACCATCAGCTCTTCATGAGAACAGCTGAATTTCCAGGTTTTTAGCCTGACTCTTAGAGCCTTTAACTATAATAATAGATCCCTAAACTGGAAGTCTTATGGATGCAGTAGATCTGCAGTGCTTCCTCCTCAGTCAGTGTTCGCAGTTGATCATGTCAATGTTACTTTTTCCATTGTTCACCAGTGTCAACAAACCTTGTAATCCACGACACTAATAGTATTCGTAGGCAGTGTGTTTTCTGCAGTCTCATAAGTAAGTCCAAATACTCTTGCTATATACAGTTTACATATTAACTCCCTTTTTTCATGGTGCCTGTACATAGTCACTTGAAGAGGCCTGTAGATGAAGTTGGCTTGACAAATGCAGTTTTGTGAAGCTAGTGCAGAAGCAAAGGACCGGCAACAAGTGGCGATGCTGACAAGGTCCCAGTACAGCACAAAGACGACAATTCGGTGGATAAATCATCCCAAATGAAGGATGCTATCTTTGGTCACAAATTAGCTTACAGGGTAAAAAATAACAAAAACCCAAAATCAAATACAGGGGAGAAAATGAATTCACTGCATCTGCACAAGTAGAAATGGCAGTGTCTTCCAGTGATTACGTAGGTCATAATGTCTACACCTAGAAAAGATGAATGCTGTGTACTGGATGGACATATTGTTGTTGAGGGGTGACAGCTTCTTATTTTGCATCTTGTTTCCAATCCTCTTTGCAGAAGTGTCTAAGAAGCTGCTGAAGGTCATGCTGGAGGTCATCCTGTGGTAGTGCTTCTGGTGTGTCATCCAGCTCTTCTATGTGAACATGTTTTCCATACCGATCCTTCATCACAGTCCTCTTCTGTGTGCTGGCTTTACTTAGTGTTGTCCTGAAGAGAGAGAACGAGAAAGCATTCGTAGCCCGTAGTTTCTGAAGGCTTTAAAACATGCTCCCCTACAGCTGGAGGCTTAGGGGTTTTTTGCTGTTGTTTAAAAGTGAAATCGGAGTAATTGTAACTGGCAATTTAAACTAAGGTCAGATGTTCTTTATTCATTCTGAATAGAACACACACCACAGCTTTAACTGGCTTTCATAATGTAAGCAGCTCATGTCTTCATGCTTATTAAGCATACAGTTGTAGATGCTCAGCAAAAATGTTCTGTAGTACAGGGATATGCAACACAAGACATTCACACAGGACGTCCCTCCTTGCTGTATTTAACGTCAACTTACAAAGTTGTCCTATACTTAAAGCTCCTTCATGGTATTTTCAGCTTCTTAAGCTAACAATTTCTTGAATGCATGCAAGTCTTCCTTAAGTCAATAAAACTGTATTTGTGGCAATCTAGTGACTTACACTCTTTTCACTGTTTATTCTCTTACCCCATTAGAAATAGCTTTGCTCTGCTAGCCAGAACCATAAATGTCACTGAGCCTCTTCCAGATCTAGGCAAATGCATGTCTCTGTTAGCCTTTACCAAAAGCCTGCTTTCTGATCAGAGTCCTTGAGAGAGGACCATGGGAAGCCATATACTCTTGCCAAGCCACCACATCCTTTTTTTTTTTTACTGAGCACTTTCAACTATTTGCAAGGCCTTCCTAGTGCACACTTCCCTTCCTGTAACACAGTGTTAGTAGTAACGTTTAGTAGCTTCGCAAACAAATAGTCACGTGCTGTCAGTGGCTTCACTTCAGGCACACTTAAATTTGCTTACGTTCAGAGTGAGTTTGTTAATTTTTTTCTGGTAGCAGTTCACTGCCATGCCAAGCCAAACCTTTTAATAATTGATCCATCCTCTTTCATGATCTCCTTTTCTACTAACGCAGGGAGTTGGATTTTAATTTGGTTGCCTGTATAGCTCAAAGCCTCAAATTAAAACATAAACTTCCAATTAAAACATAGACAGAAAGCTAGGACAGAAAGTAATTGTTCTTCATGCTTGAGTACCTCATACAATCAAAGCTGAATGGTGAACTCCTTACAACTTTTCCTCTGTACAGATTGGAAACAATTTCTTATGTAGGATAGTTTCACACTTTTGAGAGTTTTACTGAAGTATGTCTTAGAATTTTTTTTTTTTTTTTTTTTCAAGTTTGAAAATGTTCAAATCAGGGCCTTGGAGCACTACATCATCTGCTTACAACAACTGATACAGCAACCCTTTCCTGTTGCAGGAAATATTCATGCTTTTATACGCTTTCTGCCTGTCAGTCTGAGCTGCCTGCTCTGAGAGCTAGCAATAAATAGACAGGCATGCACAGAAATAGATGGGAGATACTTCTGAAATGGAAGAAACAGGGAATTGAGTTTGGCAAGGTGTTTCAGCAAGTATCTTGAAGCAACTTCACTATCCTGGGTAGCTCCGTAGCTCCTGTTTGGATTTGGAGCTCTGGGTAGGAAGTGTAAGTAGAATTTCCTGATCTCATTTTATAATTGGCTTTTTTTTTTTTTTTTTTTTTTAACCTTGGTAACTTCAAAAACTAAATGAGTTGGATTTTTGGGTAGTCTCAAGAAGCTGTAAAAAGAAAAGGAACTCACAACTTAGCTCCTGAAGCTTGCACGTGTTACACTAACTGAAAACCATCATCTAAGATGAAACTTCACCTACAAATGAATCTTCATTTACATACTACATGGTCAGTTCTTACTAATACTTCACAGAAAATAAAATAAAAAATTAGAAAGGCAGCATTTTTATTTCCTTTTGGCTGGATGTGGGTTTTCCTTTGTTCTGGGCATAACAGCTTTTGGCTCTTGCCATCTTCCTGCACTTTTCTATTACTGAAATGTTTAACCTGATCAGAAGTACAAAAAAAAGCTGCTAATTAGCTTGGTAGCAATTTCTTCATGGACAAAAGAAGTAGTAGCTGTGATACAGCAGTTTATCTGGAGAGTAGAATTAACAGCGTTGATTACCAAAATCAGCAACGTAAGGGGTAATGTGTGAATGAACTTAAAGCTTGAAGAGTAACCACACAAAACTTTTCCATCAACTTAAATCCTCCATGGATTGCTTTCATTTTTTATTTTTCCAGGAATCTTAATGTTTCACAGTTAATTCTGTAATTGTAGACTCCACCCGTAAATACATAATCTTTTAAATAAAAGCTTTTCATAACATGGTCAAGTGTAACAACCGAGGTTTGTACTTAGTGGTTGAGTTTGATACTGCACCACCAAAACTTTCAGTGAAATAATCTGGCCTGGTTTAATAGTTACATGAGAAAGGTATTCTTACCTCTTCAAAGTCCTCTTTGGCTGACGGAAGATCAGTAGCTAAGCTCGCATCCCCCAGGTGTTTCTCCATTCTCTCTCCTTGCACTACAGTAGTCTTTATGACTTTGCTGACCTTGCGGCCTTCCACTGGCTCAGACTGGAAATTGGAGGCACTGGGCAAAACACCAGGTTCAGACAAAGTCACCTGGAAGGTTAGAAAATTGATCAGGTTGGATATGATTTACATAACAGATACTAGCTAGCTAAGCTTTTAGTTCTTCTACCATTGTTTCTTAATCGTTGCATAGAGAACAAGAAATGTTTTACTTTCTACATTACCAGTGTACATTTTTATCACCTTTTTGATAACTCTGGAAAAGATGTTATAAATATGTACCTGTTCAGGCAGCAGGAATAGCCCTGAATAATTTGTTCTATTGGGAAATTTTATACTAACAGGGTAAAAACCTCCTGCTGGAACCTGTACTAGGTTAAGGGTGCCTTCTGCCACACCACAGGCTGCCATACTGGCTTGTTTGTTCCAAGGTGAGTGGAATAACACCAATTAACAAGTGGGCCTCCTGCTGCCAATCCTTGCTGTATTCACTCAGGTAGTATTGGTATCAGTCCGTATCATAAAGTTACCATAATCTTCTGAGAGATGACCAACACTTATATAAACCAAGGAACTCGTAGGAGCATAGACTGGAATTTCAGAATACCAGATGGAAGTGAAAAATATGATTGTTTGGCAAAATATAAATTTAGTTTATATCCACAGGATAAGGAGTAGTTCTATAGTATGCTAAGCTAACTAAAATAAATTACTTTTTCTGTTACCTTAGTCCTAAGGAATTACTAATTCCTAGGGAATTAATGACGATGATTAACTCTGGTGAAAGAGAACACTGATCACATTCTTAGCTTTTCTAATGATCATTTGTTAAATGTTGCTTTTAGCTGCAGTACTACTGAAATCAACCCCTGTTATTTGCTCCTGCCACTCTGTTGCTGCCTTAACTGTGCTAGTGTGTCTACAGGGCTGCATGGCAATCTAAAGCAGGAGAAAATAAGCTGAGAACCTTTTCAGGTTGTTTTTTTGTTTTTTTTTTTCCAACTACCTGGCCTTGAAACAGTTTGCATAAAAGTAACCCTTCTGTTTAGCAAAACAAAAATCTTCGGAGCAAAGAATGTATCAGTAACTTAAACCTAATGCAATGGTATAGTCATAGGGCTAACTTAGTTGCAGAAATTTGGAGAATATCAGCTCATTTAACTTCAGTATTCACTAATTTCCTTATTAGAGTAAGAGACATAATAGCAAATATTTTCCATTTATCTATGTGTCAACTTAGTACAAAACTGCTTTCTTTGAGATTAGTATTTCACATAAATTATAGAATTTCTATCTTGACTTGTTTTCAAAGAAAGCTGTCCCCTTCCTCCATCCTTTTCTTTTTTTTTGGAGGCATTTTCATCTGCAAGAGAACTTCTCAAAATCATCCAGAACTGAATTGTTATTGCCACTCTGAACCTGTGTCCAGAGGAGAGCCACAAAAATGATCACACTGATGGAACTCCCTTACTAGAACAGGCTGAGAGAGCTGGGACTGTTCAGCTTGGAGAAGTAGGCAGCTCTGGGGAGACCTGAGAGCAGCCTTTCAGTAGCTGAAGGGGCTGTAAGAAAGAAGGGGACAAACTCTTTGGCAGAATCTGTGGTGGCAGGACAAAGTGAAATAGCTTCAAACTAAAAGAGGGAAGGTTTAGACTGGATATGAGGAAGAAATGTTTTACAGTGAGGGTGGTGAGGCAGTGGCACAGGTTGCTCATAAGGGTGGTGGACTCCCTGTTCAAGGTCAGGCTGGAGGGGCTCTGAGTACTTGATGGAGTTGTAAGTGTCCCTGTTCATTATAAGGCAGTTGGACTAGAGGATCTTTAAAAGACCCTTCCAATGCAAATGATTCAATGATACTAAATGATACTAATGATACGTGTGCTCTTACAAGGTTTACTGCACTTTTGTACCACGATAAGCAAAGTAGATCTCACCTCTGACTGCTCACTGTCACTCTTCAGCACAACTCGTTTTACAACTTTGGAATAGCCATCTCCTTCTTCAACCGTGACAGGTTTTTGAGGTGTTCCTTGCATAATGATGTCTTCTTTTTCAGTGCCATCTGGAGAAACATATCGCCGGATGATCTTTCTAGTTACCTGAAGTAAAGAAATAGAGCTTTGTCCCAAAAGAGTTAACAGCGATAGATAATTTATTCTTATTCTCTAAGTAGCAAGCTCTAGTCAAAAGGCATTTTTTTCCTTAAATTCCATAAATTTACTTCACAAGTGAATTGAAGATACAAATACACTTACAACAACACATATTAGAATGACTTGCTAAAACTATAGCATCTCAGAACATTGTCTGCAAATTGCACAACTGCTAAAAGCCATTTTCAAACTGTTTTGTTTGTTTAGCATCTTCAAAGCAAAGAATGTATCAGTAACTTAAACCTAATGCATTGGTATAGTCACTTTCAGAAGTATCTTAACACCAATAAAATGGCTTCTGTAACTAAGAGCTTAGCTATCAAGTACTGTATCAAGAACTATAGAGTGACTTGGTCATTGCAGTGATAATTCAATCCTAGTACCAACTGCTGCTCTGCACTAGTGATCTACAATTAACCTGCTTAAGTGACCTAATCTGACGCTTAAGCTTTCTAGGTGTTGTCAAACCACACAAAGAGGAGCAGAAAAGAAAAACAGGGTTGCAGATGAGATAAATCTCTCAGGAGGGCATCTATGCATCTTTAGCTGGACATTCTCATATTTTCCCCACCCCTTTTGATGAGATGGCACTAAGCAGTTACATCTTGCTCTATCCAACAGCTTATTTGAAATGAAGGTCGATCAGATTGTTTGTGTAAGAGGTGAAGGTAGTACTTGCCCAGACTCAGCCAGATGTAGCCAAAAGAATAAAGTCAAAGTATACTCACCTAAGCCTGGAAATATTTGTCTGAGGGAAGAGGGAATGTAGCAGGTTGTTTTATTTTAAAATTATTTCAAACAGCCTATAGAGAGATACTGTCCAGCTGAGTGTCTATGATATTTTATTAGGAAACAGCAGAGAAGTTTGCCATGTCCTACACCAATTGTCTAAGCACTGAACTGTTAGGTAAAGCAAGGAGTATAGAAATTCCTATTCCATTTTCATTCTGTTCAAAATTAAATTTTATAAGCAAGCTCTGAAAATACTTATGAGGCAATCACACAAATCATTTATGGCACAGAGAACAGAGAAAAGTTTAACTGTATGTACAGCTACACAATTAGGAAACTCTGGGCACAGCTGAGTACAAATTTCAAGGGGCTGAAGTCTGTGTTTAGGTGATTTGTGGTTCTAGCCTTCCATTAGTTTCATTAATATGGGTATACTTATGCTCTTAGATAAAATTGTTTGGTTCTGTTGTTGTTGCAGTAGTTTGTTTTATTAGAAAACTTTTTCTCATAAATTGAGGTCTATATGGATTTAAGTGAGAAAATAAAGTACATCAAGTTATGAATTATAAAACACAATGATCTTGTAAACCAGAATAAATCCTCATATTTTGGAATCTCTCGTGAACAGAACTCCTGTCGTACTTTTTGCTTAATTTATAAAAATGATGTACCTTCACAGAAGAAATTTGGGGATATATGTGAATTTATCATCATTTTATAGGACAGTAAGAAGGTAGCAAGGGGTGTAACTGATAATACCTTCTTTACCACTGTGTGGCCGTGTTCATCTGTGTATTGTTCTTCTGTGACTGTTTCTGGTGGCATTTCAGGCATACTATCGGCCTGTATGACAAAGAACAAATTTTCATGAAGCAGTGCCTTAATGCAGGTAATTTTTTCAAATAAGCAACTTTAAAATCAGTTAGAATTCAAAAATTTAGAAATATTAGAATTTGTTATTCTGCAAATAAGTATCTAAAAACATGCAAAGAAAAGCTGTACCGCAACAGGCAAATACGTGTTAGTTGATGGTGTGGATTGGGCTGAATAAAGACTTTGTCCTCCTGCTGAAGTGTTTAATGGCATTTAGAGTTGTGTTAGAAAAGGTATTGCTATGATCCTCTTTTCTTGAAAAGGTATTAGAATTATTTATCTAATGATCATGCATTATTCAGGAGCGTTCCAGCTTCAGTTGCAATACCAGTCAAGTGGTTGTGTCAGCATCACTCCTAAAGGTGTTACCCTGGCCTTAGTCACCACTGGCTTATGCAGTCATTCCACACTTAGTACCTGAATAATCACCCGGCGACGAACGACTCTGGTAGTTACCATCTCGTCCTCATCTGAGCTGGTTTCCAGCTCACCTAACTCCTCTGCTAACTCCTATTGGAAGCATGGAAACAGTGCTCTGTTGTATGCAGCATTAACAGTGTTTATAGGCTCTGTCTTGTTTTAATCTAAAATCATCTTCTCAAAATGTTTGCTTTTAGGATTTTGGCCTCTTAACTGTCTTTAACCTATGAAACATTTACACAGGAACTGGAGGGAAGCTTTGCCACTTAACTGTAAGTTAGCTATTCATTAGCATATTGAAAAGAAGGTATGGTACTAATGGTAAGATGCTCTTAGTAGTCTTGGTGCTCTTAAGGTTGCCAGAGACAAACCTGAAATATGTCACATGATGTGGCTGAGTTGAACTAGACTGTGTTACTACCACCATCTCTGCAATTCATGTGTATTGCATACAGATTCTGTATTGCACAGAAAATCATATGAAAACCTCTTAATCCTTCATCCTTAGAAGTGCATAGCACAGTATATAGACAGTAAGACTAAACAGTATTAAATATAAGACAGTATAATACATCAACAGTTCTGGCACCAGAGAGATCCAAGAAAAATTAGTTGCAAGTGTCCTGCACAGGAAAGAATTCAATATTTAAATGAAGAGATGAAAAGAGAAAGAGAAGAAATACTCGGAAAGCATAAAAAATAAAAAGCATAAGTGAGAGAATAAATAAGGTGCAAGAGGCAGTGTAGACTGGGGGGAGATGGAGATTACGATAGTGAATAAGTAGTATGTTATAGTTGAGGGCAGCCTTTCCTGCAGATACCTGAAGCTGACAAATAATATAATTTCTCCACTGAAAGCCATGCAGATGCTCTCCTTTATTCCCCTTGGACTTCTCCTAACCAAATGTGCAAGAATGTGCCTTCTTCTGCCGCAGACAGACCTACCTCAGATACTTCTTGTTTTTATCTTCCATCCTTTGTCTCTCTTTTTACTGCTTGTGGGCTATATAAACAGCAAGGTCTTTTCTTCCAGTACATCTTTAATCTTCTCTAATGCACATCCTGCTGTCATATTTTTTTCATCTCACTAAGTTTACAATTCTTTCAATGACTTTCTTCACAATGCTCTTGTCTTTCTTAAGCTTTTAACGTAACTTTATCTTGTTACATATATTTTTCAGCTTTAACTTCTACGTGGTCTGTGTCTGCACGTCTTACAAGCACCATGTAATTCTTTCTCACATGCGTGGCATAAATGCCACACACCAAAGGACAGGTAGGGGAAGCAAAATCTGAATTACAGTTCAGATTTCAGGATTTTGGTTTTGCTTTTGTTTTCAAACCTCTATACAAAGGATTTAAATGATTAAAATGTTCTCATAACCAGCGAGGAAAGGGAAACAGCTCATTTGCAGACAGATTAATTAGGCTGTCTGTAACTGTCTGTAAATATTCCCATCCTATGGAATGAACCAGACATAAAACTTGTGCTTCTGTGTCAAATGAGGAAAAGTTGGTATTTACCTTTTCTAAAGATTCCTCCTCATAGCCACTTCCAAGCTTTTCTGGTTGTTCATCAATTGACTCCACTATCACTAGACTAGTTCTCCTTGGAGGGAGGTCATCCTGATGGAGATGGAGCTCTTCAGGCTCTTGGATGATGGGAGAACCACCTCTCTGAGCAGATGATGAGGGTTGTGGGGATGTTTTTTCTCTCCCTTCCTTTGTTGCACTGAAGTGTGCAGATGTATCACTTGCTGCTGTCTGCTCTGTTCCTGGAGTTGTGACACTGCAAATGAAAGGTTCGAGGAAAATAACTGCAATGCAGTCCTTTCCAACTTCCATAAATGAACATATATGCACTGATTAAATACTGTTATGCTATCTAGCAAAGACTAGAAATAACAGATACACCTTGGCAGTAAATACAGATGCATATATTAAAACATCATGTACATGCAGTAATTTTCTGCTGCATGTAGGTGAATTGTGTCTTCAGATGTTAATTTAATCAATGTAATTGAGCTTTATCACAAAATCTTTGTCCAACTCTGCTGCCAGGGTGACCCCACTTTTAATTTATGCAGGCTATGCAAATATTAACTGTTCCACTGCCTAGAATCATGTTTTGAGGCTGACTTTCTTATCATGTACAATGCTAAAAGAAAAATTATCTTAGTTATCTATCTATCTATATATCTATGTTATATCTTAGTCCAGATTCCCTTTTCCATCACCATAACTCATGACTAAATAACAGTAACAATAGCAGTGACAGAATAACTTGCATGTGTTATGTCTTGTTTTTTTCCTGGTACAAGTTGGGCTTCAACAATCTATTGTAAGCCCCTCAACTGCTGCTCTCCAAAAATGTGTGTTCTGAAGAAAGAAAAGATTTCATTGCAGTACAAGTTAAACAGTATCGATCCCCATTTATTGGGCTAAATGTTGTATTGCAAAATACTTTTTCTAACAAAAGCTTTCTGTACTTAAAAAGCTGTTTCTTGTAAGCTGTTTATATCTAGCCCTTTTTTTTTCTTGTAGTTTAAACTAGACATGAAGTTTAGAAATTTTCCTGTCATTGCTACTTTCATTTTAGTGTTGGTAATATTGTCTCAAAATATTTTATCTTGGAAATAAGAGTAGCTTTCTGTACATTCAGAACAAGGATTCCTTAAATACAAATAAATAGACAAAATACACAAATAATATTTCTATCAGCTGTTAGTATTTGCAGTGAAGTCTTCTCTAGCTTTTCTACAATCTGTGATAGCTGCTATCCATATCAAAGCTAACTGCTTTTAGGAAAATCACTTTGGAAGGAAATCTTTCATTTTGCTAGCCCACGAACACCTGAGTCAACCCTGTAGTGTTATCACTGTGAACACAAGATTAGTAACAGTGGGAAGAAAGAAACTTTTTCAGGTTCCTTTCCAAATGAAACCAACTTCACTGACAAAGCTGATTCAGGATTGAAAGCCATGTTACACAGGTCATCTAAGTCTATTATGTGTTGTTCCTTTAAGTACTTTTGCCTTGTCTATGTAAAGCCCTCCTTCTGTTCCTTTAGCCATCTGAGATTTGCAGTTTGGCTTTTAATCTAGTTGTTATTATGTAATTAGGAACTTTTTAATTAATGATCATGTTAGCTAAATTTTTGCCTCAACTGAAAAACATCCTGAAGTTGAAGAAAGGATTCTCTAATATTATTTACCTGCCATCTAACATGAAAAATACTCTTTGTTAGGGAAAAAGTTTGAAGTACCTCTTTTCTTTCAATGCATTGAACTAGCTTATTTCTTCATAATCAATGCAAAGGACCAACTTTCTCTCCCAGTCCTGAAGGCTTCTTTCACATGATCAAAAATGGAAACTTACAGAAGAAACTTCTGAACTTGTGAGCAAAACTGAAGGAAAATTCTACTGAATCCAAATGTTAAAATCTACATATCACACAGAGAAGAGAGAATGCATTCTACATAAGATTCACCGTCATCTTTCAACACTTACAAATATTCATGTTGTGAAGATGTTGTTTCTACCACACTGTGGGGTTTCCCTGAGAATTCAGCTTCCACTTGTTCTTTGTGTGTTTGCCTTAGGAGCTCAGCCATTGTTAGCTCTGCCTCACTCCTAGGAGTACTGTCCTGAAAAGGAGAATAACTGACAGATACATCTTCCTCAGAAACAATGGGAGGGTGTTCCATTGGGTCACTGTCTTTAGACATTCTGTGGCGTTCTTCCGGCTTATGTCTTGAACTGTACAGTTCTTCTTGCAGTACGGAAAACCCTTTAAAAAAAGAAATGAGAAATGTCATTACAAGTCTCTTTAGAGTACAGAAAGTCATTCTAATTCTCCATGTGCATTTAAAATCTGTGAAACAACCAAATGACCTGAAAATTTTAGAAGTTTTAAGTGGCAGAGAGTATAACCTCTCTAAGCAGGAGAAGGATCACTGGATTACCATTGGAATTACCCAGTGCTGAATCTTCACAGTAACAGGCAAAATAGAATCTACACAGAAATTTATCTACACCATTCAATCTCAGGCACTTTGAAGTGTGGGAGATTTGCAACAGCTTTTTCTCCCACAGACTGAAAGAGGTTTTAGTGACTGTTTTTTTTACCCATCCTTCATGTAGCTGTTTACAGGAAAACAAACAAACAAAAAAACTTACAGAAGTTCTTAGCTTGTATAGCTGCAAAAATAATTACTTTGCAAGTCTGAGGGGGAAAAAGTGCATACGGTGCAAAGTGCAAGGACTAGCTAAATGAATGTTTCAAAGCACATTTAAAATTAAAAAAAAAACATTCTCTAATCCTGCAGAAGTAGTAAAATAACATGTTCATTTGTATCTAGCAGACAACTGACACACACTCGTTTGTTAGCGTCTGAGCTCTTGTTTTTCTTCACTAGCCACGATCACTAGGAACCAACTGAAGTCCAAAGAATAGCTTGGTGGAAAGTATAGCTATCTGTACAGAATTTAAGAAGGTATGGAGGTTAACATTTTTAAACTAACAAGTTGTTATAGTTGAATGCTAAATACAGCAAATATGAGCTATTCTTACATCATCTACATAAAGATGGAATGTGTGCAGCTGTCTAATACTTTCCTGAGCTACTGGTTTAATACTAAGTTAAGGGTGCAAAAGTATCACTTGAAAACAGAGGATTTTTCTTCATGCAATTTTAAGATGTTTCTTTAGTGTATTGATTTAAATGGAACTTGTAAACTCAAGTATTCCAACAGCGTTGTAGCAGAATTACAAACAATATGTTGCATATCTCCTTTTTACAAAGATTTCACCAAGATTAATGCAACCTTCTTAACTTCTAAGAGAGCAACTGTATAGGCAAAAAATAAACTGGACCCAAGTATTTGCAGTACTTTCTGATGACATTCTCTTATTTTCCTTATACGAATCAGCTGATGCAGAGATTTTATACCCAGTGAAATAGTGACTTGTGTGATGTCACGCTTCCATTCACACACACTGTGATTTCAAAATTAGATTCTAGTGCTCAGTCACAACAGTGAACAGATTATTCTAGTCAGACATCTCAGAACAGAGTCACAACCTGGGCAGTCTGTGACTGTATCAGAACATTTTACCTTCACTGTGGTCCAATCCTATTGTTTGTTCAATTTCTGCATACGTGCGAGTGCCGTGGACCTGCATAGAGTCAATGCCACTGGTCTCCATTAGGTGAACAATATCCATTCGGTTGATTTTAGTAAGACATTGAGTAAGGCTTGTATCTGTGGGATTAGAACGACATCAGATAGCTGAGTTAAGAATCTCCCAGGGCTCTCTCCCTTCTATTTTCCATTTGAAGTATGTATGTAGGATAACAATTTAGAAGAATTTTTATGTAAAAATCTAAGTTTTACTGAAAGGCTGCATACAAACATTACCAGTAATCTTGTTTCTTCTTTCAAAGTGATTTAGTTCCCACAAATACTTTTTTCTGTTTAGGGAAAAAGAAGACTCAGTGTTTTTCTATTCTTACTTTGCTGGAAGAGGTTCTATCTTGTTTTCCAAATAAACAGAATTAAACATTTTCTCTAACTGAGAATCTTATGACACGCCATGTTAAACAGAGAAACTTTATAAAAAAGAAAAAAGCCCAACCTGCAGCCCTTCTTTCTGTTGCCTAAATTTTACCCATATTTTCCCTTTCTGATTCACAGCACACATAGGTCACCTTCATGGCGGAGACAGTAGATATGTACTATAACTGATAATGAACCTGTTGCGTGTTTCCCATCCCTTTCAAGCCAATATTTGAGGAGTGCATGGCTCTGGTCTTGAAGTGAATTAGGATTTTCAATCCTGATTTGGTGAATTTGCTCTTCTGTGAAATCCAGTTCTCTTGCTAACTCTGAAAAAGAAATCATTTTCTGTGAAGATGTAATTTATTTTTCCCACTTTACCTTACATCTATTTTACAGTTGTCAGCAACAAAGTGGATTACAAACTTTTCTGAAACTAATTTCTCTTTACTTCTACGTACTTTGTCTTATGTTTAGAGAGAATGTTAAACAAGATGTTCAAGACAAAGATAATGTGTTATGCTTAGAGGTTATGGGCCTGTGGGAGCTTTTCTTTTTTGTGCGTACCATTCTGAGTTCTCAGTTCTCACAACACTACAGGCCAAACCATAACACAGCGCTATGCTTACTGGTTTCATGTCCCCTGAAATGTTGAACGTTTTGGAAACTTTGCCCAAAATCTAAGAATTAATTTCAAGTAGTGGCATTTTTTAGGGCTAGAGTAAGGCATGATCATACTGCTCCCCTGGACTTATTTCATCAGAAGAAAAATAAAACAGTATCCTTCTGACTAAGCGCAGGCTCAGACAGCAGCCCAGTCTCGTCACCCGTCTTGTAGCCCCAAAGAAACATTTGACACACTCAATTTTACCATAATCAATCTTCATCATACCTCAAAACAGGAATATTTATGCAGTATACTACTCCGTCCCTTCAAAAATCCTATAAAACACTAACATCTATTTTGATGAACATACATTTTTCCTAGTTTTGTTTTTGGAACTGTATAGCCTTTAGAGTATTTCATAGGATTGCAGTTTAACACAGCATGGAGATTTTTATACAGCTCTTTCTTTGTGAACATTCTGGACCAATTTTCAGTGATAGAGAGCTACAGTTCATCCTCTGTTATCCTGCTCTTTCCCAGTAGTATTAATACGCTATCTTAAAGCGACTTACAAACTCATCATTTTTCTCCCCTTTTCCCTCAGCATATTTCCACAGAAAATAAGTTAATGTAACTTTTTGCTGTAGTGGCCTTCTGCCTCAGGATTTCCAGAACACAGCTGATGTTTATTCATTTATCTTTCAGCCGCTTTATCTTTTAGAGTCATTACACTTTGCAAGAAAATGAAGAGTAATATCTGCCAATTCTTTGTCACTTTTCTCATCCTAACAGTTTTTCCTCTGGAGATGCCACAACAAATGCAGAGTCCTTAGCTCTGCATCTTACAACTTCTTACTTAATAAGCTGGAGGAATTTTGGTAACCACTAGACAGACCATCTAGTTTCTGTATGTTACTGAAATATTTCTATGGAATGACTTTGGATAATCATCTGAAAGAAAAATGAAAATTCTGAAGAATACTTGCCCAGTTTCTCTCTAGAATAGATCGTGTGTTTTACCTGTCCAACTGAATCCAAGGTGATCCGCAATGTGGGCCAGTCTTTCCTCAGTCCGTTCCCGATCATCCTGTTGATCTAAGGTTCAAAAAGAACAACCACAAGTTGTCTTTTACAAATTAAAAAGCATTTCTTATAGGTGATAAGCCCAAGGAGGGAAGCATTTTTTCTGACTGGTCTAATCTAAATGTGGACGGGCTGCTACAATTGGGTACTTAAAGTAAGGTCTATAAATCTCCAGCCTTCTCGCATGATTTTTCCAACAGTATAGAACTATCTAGAATTTTTTTATTTAAAAATCAGACTTTCATGTAAAAAATTAGGATTGAAATACCTATTATCATTTTTTTATCCAGGCATTTTATTCTAACACGTAAGACTTTAACTAAGTCAAGAGCCATAATATACCACGCCTCCTTAGTATATGCCAAGGCTGAAAAATTCATTTGGACTGGTGCTTCTAATTGTGCTTTTTTCTGTGGTAGGGAAAAATCTGTTCGAAGTGTCCATTTGACATTTCATACTATGGTTTGTGTTAGTAAATTACTTACTTAAATGTCTTTGACTCTTTCAAATACAGAGTGATACAAATAGTTAAAACGAAGGCAAGGAAAAATTAGATGCTTATTCACCAGTAACAGTGACACTTAACTATTTCTCCCATCCTCAAAGCTAATTTGAGGATGCCAGAATTTGAGTTTTGATTTTCCCCGAACACACACATGGATTTCAAAATACGCCATTCAGAAAAGGACTTAAAGTTAATGAAATATGCATTTTTCATTTTAGCTACTGGATTCCTATCACAGCTGCCCAACAAAACCAAATACCTTACAACTTGTACTAAAGTTATTAATGACATGTAGAATTTCCGTGAGAGGATCAAAAATAGAACAAGAAAATCTTGATTATTCTAATTTTCCATGTTTGAGTAAAAATTCAAAAGAAAATAGATTTGCCGTCATGGTTTCAATCAATGTCCACATTTTCATTATTAGTAAGAATTGGTCAGAATAGGGCCAGGGAAAGCCAAAAGTCAAAGTGTACATGACCTGAAGTATTGGTTTAATGGTAAATATGTGTCTTTTGAAGTGTTTTTATTTATTAAAATAACACTTCCCATAAGCATTCATGGCTTGCAATCTTGAGATTATTCCACAAATAAGAAAATACAGACAACACAAAATAACAAACACAGCTTATAGGGGTAAAAAAACAAAAAAACAAAAAACAAAAAAAACAACCAAACAAAAACACAAACACAACTAACCATCAAAAGCGTAAAAGAAAATGCCGCATACTTTACACACATTTATACAAACTTACAGATACACACACACCAAAGAAAACAAAAAACCAAAAAGTTTTAATTTATGACATGCGTCGCACAGGGAATCCCAGTCGTTGGCAAATACCTTCAGCATGGTCATGGATATTGTCATCAGGTATACGTTCAATCTGAGTCTCTACAGACTCATCCCAAATAGGTCTGGTGTCAAAGATGTCTTCAGGAACTGACTGCTGAGTCTCAATGGATGGCACGTTTTCAATAACTGAAACTTCTAGGGCACTACTGCTTTCGTCATCTGAAACTAATTCTTGTTCTCTTTCTGATTGTGTAAGTCTTTCCACTAACTTAGAAGCTTCATCACTAATTTCTTCAAAGAATTCTATGGAGTTTTTATACAGGTCAAAAAATTGTTCCTTACTTTCTTTTGTAGGACTAAAAGCACTGTGGGAGGCTGTAGTGCTCCTGCTTTTAACTGGCACTCGTGATGAAAATACCTTGGGTCTTGCTGTTGTTGCCTCATCTGAGTCTAGCTCAACCTTTAACTCTCTCTCCCTCTCCCAGGTCTCTGCTTCTGCCTCTGCATAACTCCTAGCTTTTATTGAACGTTTGGTCTTTGGGTCCACGGGAATACTTGCATCAGATTCAGATTTACTTCGGCTATCTTGTTTTGTAGGTAGTTTGCTTGTCATGTTGAGAGCTTTGGATGACTCTAGCTTGTGGACAGATGTGTCTGTGGATTGTTGTTCAGCTCTTTGCAAAGCTGATTTGACAGGAATTTTAGACTTTGGTTTTGCTTGGTCATCTTTTCCTTCACACTGCAGACTGTCTAGGAAGCCGTCAGTGGGAAGGTTCTCATTTTCAGATTGTTGCAATGATTGTGATGCAGCAGCAGCAGCTGTTCTTACAGGGATTTTGGATTTGCTTTCACAAGAAGGCACTCTCTCCATTAAAGCAGTAGGGATTTCTATCACTGATCTCTGTTCCTCTGGTGAAGAGTCTGGGGACTCATCATCCTTTTCAGAACAAACAAATCTAGTGACTTTGGAAAATTCTAACTCATCTTCTACCACAGACTGCTCAGGAGAGATGGGGAAAGGCACCTGACTGCTATCGACTATGTCAGTCTCCACTGTGAAGAGGGATTCAGCTTCAGAGGCAGCAGTTTCTTTCTTTGGTGATTTTGAAGAAGCTGAAATACCCATTTTAATTGGTATTCTGGATTTTAGCTCTGCTTTTGCAGTGCCTACGCTGACGCCTTCACCAGTCATTTCTTCTGATTTATCACAAGGCTCAGATGGTGAGGGTGAACGATTCAGTGTATCTTTTCCTTGTATGTCGAGGTCCTCTGATTCTGAAAGTGAAAACGGATCTGGTGGGCTCTCCGGCTTAGAAGATTCTGCCTCTGCTGCTTCTTTAATTTCCTCACATAAAGAAACTTCTTCCTGAGGCTGCTGCCCCATTTGGAAGAAATGAAAACTTTCATCTGGATAGTTTCTTTTGGTCATGTCAATAGCTCCACTTCTGGTCATTTCAAACAACTTTCCTTCCTGAAAAAGAAAAGGATTTTGTTCACTAAGTGGTGTTCCTTCTTCAGTGGGTGTTCTGGCCGGTGTTGTATCAGGTGTTGTGCCTTGTGATCGCCTGTCTACCATCAACCCAAATATCTTTTGTTCCTCTTCTTTTACCCGAGCTTCAAAAGCTTCATCATCTTCACGTATGTCACTCCATGTGTCAGAATCTACGTCAGTCTTGGTAATAACAACTTGACTGATAAATTTCTCTGTTTCATCTCTTATATCCGTAAGGGCAGATTCAACTAACTTTGTGGAATCTGACGCTGAAGACCCCGGTGAGGTTTTCTGAAATATGTCCTCAGTTTTAAGTTCTGTTTCTATCTGCACTTCCTCTGAACGTTGATACTCACTGCCCGTGCCTCTGCTAAGCAAAGGTTCACCAGTCTTATCTTTTGTTTCTTCAACAGAACAGTCTTCACTAGATAGCAGGCTTTGACCAGTTCCTACCTTACTTTCACCACCATCAGTAAAAAAATGTTCAGAAGACACATTTTCATAAGGGCTTACTATATGAGGAGCTCTACTTTCAGCAGCGTCCACTACACAACCTTCAGGTTCCACTGTTTCAGTGGTAAGGGATGAATACTCTGACAAGGGTTCCTCAGTATCTCTCTGAGGTGTGTCAAAATCTGCATCTACTTTTGCAAAATCACAATGTTCAATGAGATCATCTTCAGTCAGTTTGCCATCTTGTGGTATAGAGAATTCAGTGGTACTGTGTCCACAAGAACCATCATCTACTTTCTCAGTCACCATTCCTTTAGTAGTGAGAGTTGTGTGTGTTAAAAAAACAGTGCTTTTGATACCATTTTCCCTGATATCATCTTGGTGTAGCGTTGAAGAATCGATGTGATCTTCTTTCTGAGAACAGTCACCAATGGAATGACACAGTGTACCCTCACATTTTGTCACTGGGGCATTAGGACTAACCATCTCACTGTCATCTGTAATATCACATTTTGATTCATCAGTTTCTGCTGATACACAACCGTCTGAATGACAAATGCCTGATTTTCTCGTGGAAGCCTTACAGCTGCCTCCAAGGATATATGGTTCATCTTTGTCATCTTCTGTTGGTTTGTCCTGTTCTGCTGTAACTGCACCCATCCTGGAAGAACACCGTTTTGAATTAATGGGTTGAAAACCTGCTTCTTCAGGGCTAGAACTGGAGTCTATACTCGATGGTAATGGTGAAGGTGGCTGCACTCGGATTACAGGTTCCATTAAGAGACCTGAATCAGCTTCTTTTTTAAGCTGGGTCAATTCTGGCTCACTTTCTGAAGAGGAAGAACTTTTTCTAGATTCAGCTGAAGACATCACCACTGTGGGTATATCTTTTTCTTCTGCGGTTTTTGACTTTGATTCTTCAGTTTCACATGCAACTTCTGAGTCAGCAATTAGAGAATGTTCATCTTGTTTACAATCCCTTTTGTAATCTCGCTTCTGCTTTGCTTCTTGCTCTAATTCATCAAACGTTTTGATTTTCGTCACCATTTTAAACATCTCCTCTTCAGGGGTAAATCTCTTCTTTGGTTCACTTTCTGATTCATCCTCTGGTTCTTCACTGACTTCAGGGATCACAGCTGACTTTGGTATATTTGACAGTGCCTGTGAGTCTGCTGTTTTAGGTGTGATTTCATAGCTAATTTCTTCAGAACTGGGAGTTTCAGGTGAAAGAGGACTTTTCCCTGAACTCTCCATGAGAGATGTTTGCTCTAGACTGTCATCATCAGCACTTCCCTCAGGGTCACGGAGGATCCTGGAACGTACTGTTGCCAGCTCTGGGCAAGTTTCTCCTTTGCCAAGAATAGACTGAAGAGGACCCTGCCCCAAAATACCAGCTTTCACTTTTTGTTCTACAGGACTACTTTCAAGGGAATCACGGCAAGGAGATTCTTTCATAGGACTGGGCTCCAAAGAATCAGGCGTTTTATGTGATGAGTTGTCTTCTAGCACGGGGCTTGCTTCCAGTGAGTCTTTATGACTTACAGCCAAAGAGTCATCTGCAACTGGGCTAAAGCATTCACTATCATGGCTAGCAAGTGAAAGTTCCAATTTTTGGGGGCTTCTAACCACAACATGGTGTTCACAGCTTATATCTTTCTCTTTCTCTAAAGCAGTGTCATGTGTTTCAGAAGAATTAGTTAAGTGTGGAGTGGTTCTGGATTCTTTCTCCCTGATAATATCTTCCATAATGGAAGCTGAGCTACTTTCTTTAAGTTTATCAGCCTCTTCTTCAGAGGCTGTAGGTACAAGCTCTTCTGATACATGGTCAGAATGAGACTCACTAGTCTCAGCAACAGCATCTAGCTGTTTTTCAGTAATACCTTTTTCATTTTCCTTTGGTGAGAGTTCCTTTGGAGAACATGTTTCTGCTGTTGTGTGTACTCTATCTGTTCCTTTAGCTTCTTCAATTTGCCCATCAGTTTTCTTTGGTGAGAAAGAAAGGCTTTCAGGGCTTGTTTCTGGAGTTTCTGCCAGACCCTCATGTTTATAACTTTCCTCAGAACTGATCTGAGGAGTTCCATCAAGCAGGCTACCTGGAGAATCAGCCACACCTTCATGTTTGAGGCTCTCTGAGCTCCCATCAAAAGCAGCACTTTGCAGAGAAAGAGCGGGAAGGAATCCATCTTTTGCATACTCAGCAGGGAAAGCAACACTGAAGGGACTGGTCAGTACTTGCTCCAAGTTAAGCTCGCCTTCCTCTGTCACTGAAAGATGTCGGAATTGTTGGTATTTGTCATTATCCTCAAGTTCTTCTTTAATGACATCAGAAAAATCTGTTGAGGTTTTCCTGTCAGGGCTGATCTGAAAGTCTGTATCACCGTGGTCGTCAGAAGTCTTGCCCTTTATAACTGCTGAATCTTTAGTACTCTCATCAGCAAATACTGGAGGGGGAGGTTCCGCTGTTGTTTTTTTGCTGCTCTGCTGTTTTACTTGGTCTTTGCCTACAGTTTTCTTGATAGTATCAACAGTGGATACTTGCATTCTTCCTTTCTTTGGCTGTGGCTCTTTCTCTGCTTTTAAGACTGTGCTTTGCTTGTCTTTCTGTTTGTCCGTCTTGTGGCTTGTTACTCGCTTTGTTTCACTCTGTGAAGAAATTGTTTTTCTCCGTGTTGTTTCCTTCTCTGGGGGTTGTTGCTTTTGTTTGACAGACTTGTGCTCAAACAGTCCAGATACATTCTTGGATGGGTCTTGACCTGACTGGAAGGCTTTCATCAGCTCACGAACTGACATGGTCTCTTCAAGTCTTTCTGTCTTAGAAGAGGGTGAAACAGGAGGCTGTGCTTTGTGTGCAACTGTTTTTTTGACTGGTACTGTTTTTTTAGAAGGCTTTTCACCAGTGCCTTCTCTTGTTTGAATTCTGACAGGTAGTTTAGAGCGTATTTTTTGTTCATCTTCCACTCGTTTCTGAAGAGCTTTAACCTTATCTTTTATTGAGCCAATAGGGGTTTCCTCTATGACAGGGGATACAGCTTTAGCTTCAGGAGCAGCTGCTGGTGTTAAGCCATGTTCCTCCTTTGAAGACTCATCTGAACTGATCTTCATTAGTCCTGGTTGTTGTTCACTACTGTGCATCTTGCCTTCCTTTTGTTTGTGCTTGTCTCTTAACTTTGTTCTAACTGGCTTTTTAATTTCTAAGGCTGGCTTATGTTGTTCTTGTGGACTTAGTGTTTCGGTTGTTGGAGACTCTTGTCCTTCTTTTTCGGAATCCCTGCTTATTACTACAGCTTCAAATTTCTCTTCCACCATGTCTTCTTGTAAAGCTTGTGGCTGTACCTCATGAAGAGAAACATATTTGTTTAAATCCTCAGTAAGGTAATCTACCATTCCTGCCATGTCTTTCTTTACCGTCTCTGTTGTCTCTTTGTCTATTCTAACTTCTACACAGATAGGTTCAGTGACTTCTACAGGAGCATTTCTTCTGGCCTCTTCAATTTCTTCGTCACTGACAATGACCCATTCTTCTTCTACAAATTCTTGTCTGGAAAGAGACTTTTGCAAAGCATGTTCTTCTCTAGTATATGATCCACCTCTAAGAATTTCATTCACTTTTTCTAAGTCTTCTTTCACCCTTTCAACTATTTCAAAAGGCTCTCCTGGCTCCTCTTCAGTGGCTTTTCCAAGATCTTTCACTTTAATAGAGCCTGGTTTATCAGAAGGGTCAGTTGTCAAGATGGCAGTCATTTTGATCAAATCTTGTTTCATCTCAGAAACTTCAGACAGTAAGTCTGGACTGGCTAGTACAGGGACTTCATTAACCAGATGGCTTTTCAGGATAGATGTTTCTGTAGATTCTGTCTCATCATCTTTGATGCGAATGAAAAACATTGAAAGTAAAATGGAAATCAAAAATAGAGATTGGAAAATGTAATCAGGACTAAAAATGACAGTCTTTGGTTGCAGTGGTAGGAAGATCTACAAAATGGGCTGGGAATGGTGGATCCACAAGATCTGAGGGTACAAGAGCAAAGCAAAGCTAACAGGAGGGGAAAAAAAAAAAAAAAAAAGAAAAAAAAAACTGAAAAGGAAAATGGCAGGAAATAACTTGCTTAACTTTACCAATATAGCACAGCCACACATACATTACCAAAGCTGTAACAAACAAAATCAGGACACCGTTAAAGAAAAGAATAATAATTAAAAAAAAAAAAAAAAAAAAAAACAACACGAACAAAAAATACCCACTAACAACAAAATTTAAAATTAAAAATAGAAGAAACACAGTGAAGTTACACAAAGATAGGCATCTCAAGATTGTTCAGATGTTACAAATCAATGTTCAAATAAAAATAAACAAGAAAAGAAGGGGAAAGTATTAGAACTGATTGAAAGTCGATTTCCTCTAAGAGAAAGCCAGTGTTAGCAAACTGTCAGAATAACATTCAGTTAACATGTTTTATTTTTTTATTTTTTTAATTAGTGATCAAAATAAGAAGTTACAAATGATTCTGCAATAATCTAAAATATGATCAAATATGTAGATATCTGAATCAGCTGCAAACCGGCATTTCATCAAAGGGGATTTCACACCTAAACAATGAAACAAACATCATTTGGTTTTAAGAGGCATGGTCCTTTCCTTGGAACATCCTCATCGACAACTAATGAATTGACTGGGGAAGGAGAAGACAGAAGAAAAGGAGAGGAAAAAAACTGTGAATCAACTTAGAAGTGATTTCAGAGTTTTTAAAAAAATGTAATGTATGGCAACCAAAAATCAGACAGTCACGCTAGACACATACATACAGTTTATGTAAGGCAAGTTATTTCCATGCAAAGCAAAGGTGTTGCAAATGCTTCTGTGTATGTAGTTTCAGTTAAAAAAACAAACAAACAAACAATAGCTTTAAAATTAATCTTACAAAATAAAGATACGTGAAAGTATTATTAAGTATACTGTGGTGAAATATTTATCTAATCTGTACAACCAATAAATAGTGAATTGAATGTAGGTAGGTCCTGGTATGCCATTGCTGACTAGTAAGAATGTTACTTTCAGGAGGGAATACTAGAAAATGTACACGGAGCAGAATGAAACAGTGGAGCAATGAAACAATTTATGAGCAGTAAACAATGCTTAGAAATTGTTGGGAATCATACAGTTCATTTTTAAAAGGGTGCTATATCACATTTCTGCACTCCAGCCTAAAAATCAAAGTAGTAATGCAAATAAGAAGGTAGGCAATGCCTAATTATCTGCATTTCTTTGAAAATTAACCCTAGGGTAACGGAAATTCCATTCTGCTAGCTGTATTATGGTGCCTGCTTTCCACCTTGAGAAAACTGGTTCTCCTTGTGTAAATATTAATGAAATAGAGCAGCAATCAGATATTGCTAATGTTTTAAATCATTATGTATGCTACTTCCCACCAGGTTATTAGCTGTTTTCGTCAGACTGATGTCTTTAGTTTTTTAGCTGAAGAATTTCAGTTTTAGAAAAAAGGAGGTCGAAGTAGAATAGTGTCAAAGTAGAATAGCTATCCATTTGATAACTGTGACCCCAGTGCTGTTGTCTTTCTAACTAGAACATGCACCTACTATGCTAGGAATAAACAAACAGCAGAATGCAAAGTAGAATAAAGGCAAGAAACTGCAAACAAGACAGTCACTGATCTACAGAATCATTGGAAAATATTAGGCACACTCTTCAATTTGAATTCAATTTGTTTAATTATGTCTTCATTAAAAGAGATCTTTCACAGTGTTTCTAATAATAATGGCCCAATTCTGTATATACAAAGGGCTTATATGTTCTACCAAGCTTAGCTTTCAGTCATATTTCACCACAGTAAAGGGCGGGAAGGGAGGGTTAAACAGCCTGATTACTTTTGGCAGTATCACTTTTTTTTGCATGCTTATATTTCACAAGTCTAATGAAATATATTAGTATACTAATCGTGTTTTCATTAAAAGTGATACTGCCATTTATCTCAAATGGCAACAGTGTGTATCAACAAATGGACAAGAGAATGGAAGGATGAGCATTCATACAAGCAAAATAGCAATAGCAGGATCACTAGGGATGTCAAAGGAAAGTAAGTACTTAGATGAACTCTTAAGCTTACTTGTTAATTTACACATTAAAATGTATTTAATTGGTTAACTGCTTTGATATTATATTGCTTTCTGTTATGTTTTAAATGTATCGATGCTATTAGCAATAGTTGTTAAAGTTTAACTCACTTTCATGCTTAATTGTATTCTTTACCATCTTTCGTACGAACTACATTATAATATTTTTAAAAGTAAAAGGAAAATCTTACTTTTTTCTGAAGTCATATCAACCTGGAAAAGAAGAAAAAAAAAAAAAAAAGGAAGATTAAAAAGTTGCAAAATAGTAAATGTATACAAAATCACCAGTGAAGTAATACTGGCTGAATCAAGTAATCATTTAGGTTGATGTCTTTAAACTTCACATTTATGATAGTTTAATTTTCCTTACATTAAGTCCATCATAATTAATCTGGAATTATGTCAGCATATGAAATAATATTACTAAAATAAGAATGAATAAAACAAACTAAAAATCTTTTAAAAAGCGAGATACCTCCACCAGCAGTCAGTTGGCTTTTTTGTGTGTGTGTTTTAGTTTCTTAAATAAAAGCGCAATAAATAAGAAGATCGAGAAAAAAATTCTAATATTATTTGTATGTTTTTAATGGATTTTTCTCACAACAACATTAGGGGACTTCACTGGAAATGCATAAACAGCATTATGGAGGCTAAAAGAATTTGTTTCATTCTGAAACCAATTCTGATCATCTGATAATAAATGTTTCATTCCTAATATATATATATAGTGGCAATTAGCTTCTGATAGAAGACAGGTATCAGGTTAAACAAGGAAGTTACAGATCTACAGCTAGTAATATTTTTCTAAAAATACTTCTTCTTAAACATATTTATTAAAAACTTGACCACATTTTCATTTGACAGTGCCTATATTTCAGCACTAGAATAGTACTGATATTTACTTTTTGTAATGATAATAAAAAACTGCAGTCCCCACAACAAAACTTCTGAACTCTGTTCTGCAGTAAATTGCAAAGACATTCATACTCTTTGAGGAGTGGGCTAGTCTCACAGCGCTGGCATTTCTTGTTTGCAACATCTGAACATCCTTAAAAACATGGAGATGCTTTTCCTTATGTTACTCATTCATGAAGGGGTGAGACCTTAAGAAACATTTGTAACTGCCAGAACAGAGCTGGCAAAGCTGGGAGCTGCTCATATTTCTCCATTAAGATACAATTCAGTTCACGTTAAAAAAGAAAACTGTATATTTTACTTTGGGTAAATTTCCTTATAACTTCCAGGTTAACACTGAATCTATGCTAGACCTCATTATCCAGTTCATATATCTCTAATATCCAGTCTGCCAGATGTTATAAATGGACAAGACTCTTGAGTTACATCCCTTTCAATTATACATCCAGTGCATATAACTGCAATGTGATTGCAGATTCCTCACAACAGAGGAGAACTGGCTTATGGACATATTTGTATTTAGGTCTGTCTCTCTGCCTCCCTTCTCTGCCTCCACTAGAGGAAGTATGTTCAATCAGTACATATGGGGTACTAATAAAATGCATGCTATATCAATCATCTACTGGCTCTGGTAGGAGGTCTGGTAGCAACTCTGTTATTTTTGGAAACAGAAAAATTAACTCCACTTTTTTTTTTTTCTTTCTTTGTTGTTGTTGTTGAAGAGAATATCCACTAAATAAATCCACCTATATGATGCTCTTCAGAAGGATAATTTTTAAATACTTTAACTAAGAAACTTCTTTGGAAGGAATATATATTATTAAGCATCTGTGAAATCAGTGTAAAACTTTGATTTTAATTTGGGGAAAGTGAGACTTGGTAAATTCCTAAGTATGACTGTGAAAGATCCTTTTAAACTCCACACAGATTTCATCTTCAAGGTGTATCTATTAATTGTATTTTAATAGTATGCATAAGCAATGACATGCCGCTATGGCAACATTACCTCTTCTTCTTGTTCTTGGTCTGATTCTGATTCCTTTCAGTCCCAAAATGCCATGCAAAAACAGAAGGAGAAAACAGAGCAGCAAAATGCAGAATTGTTAGAAGGGTAAGAAAAAGTTACGTCTATCAACACTTCTGATAACATCTAAAAGAAGTCCATATGGTAAGTTTATGCAATTTCTTGTGTAAAAAGTGGCAGTGTAAAACAAAATGCTACAGAATCCAGCAAATTGCAAAAAAGTTGCTTTTAGGTGTTGTAGTTAATGATGCTTATTTGTCCTGAAATTTGACATTAATGCATGCTTTTATACCCATAAATTTAAGTAAGTATTTCAAGTATTCAAGAGGTTACTCATTTAAATTGAAAATAGCTTGAGGCACGTTATTTGTAAATCATACAAAAAAGCTGTAATACAATTATATTACATGGTAAAAACACCAACAACATTTTGGTCAAACAGCCTAAGATGTTTCTAAAAAGCATGCTGGTCCTAAGCTGACATAGAATAGTAAGAAGTGTCCTACTTATCACATGATGGCAATAAACTAACTTTTTTGAAAGAAACAAATATTTCTTAGGATCTGTTCTCTCCCAAATGGAAACCAAGGGCACTTCAATGAGAATTCATCTGGTCCTGAGCCTGTTATTTATAAATAGTAAGTCATGATAGACTTTTCATCTCCTAACTGTTGTAACAATACTCAGAAGGATACAATACTCTGAACAACACTCTGACCTATTTGCAGATTCTTGACAGCTTAGATTAGATCAGATGTAAAAAGAAAATTTAGTGTCAAAATCAGCGTGATGTTAAAATAAATATAAGAAAATATTTTTGGCACTGCCATAACATTTGAAATTCTAGAGCTTGAGAATGCTATGTTTTCAACACTAGCACCATGGATACATAAAGGCAGTCACCGAGATGTGTGATAGCAGAGTCAGTTAACTTTCAGACTGGCAAATAATGTAATTTTCAGTTCTTCTATGTTTCATATTTTAAAAACAGGATGAGATCTATAGGCTTGTATCCTTACACTTATATGTCTAACAGTTAGCTTCCTGTCCAGACAGGTGTCACAAGACAGAGTTAGACACTGGGATGTCTTCAGCAAAACCAAGAAAGAGACTCACAAATACTCTGAGTCCCAGATGTGCAAGATGTAGGTAAAATTACTGCGCAAAATAAAATCAGCATATGTTTTGTGCAACGCCAACCATGGGAGCCACGCAGTACAAAGTCATCTTCTACTGCCCTCTCCTAAGAGCCCTCAAAAAACGAGAGCTAAATGTGTGAGTACTAAAACCAAGAAATCGACAGCCCTTGTACTGTGTATTTATGCTTCTTAAAATACATGATTATAAAGCTTTAACAATATTTTACCCTCTTACTTCTTCCTCAGTAACATTACAATGCTTCATACCAGTATGACTTCACAGTACCTTTGTGTAAACAGGTAACGTGATGTTTAAATTACATATGGCTTGATGAACAAGACCTCTTGTTGATTTTGGCTCCTTCATGAATGATAATCGTCCGCAGGGTTCTTGAGTGGTATCTCGCACCTGGTGGAACAAACATACAGAAAATTAATTGTTGTGGTTACAGAAAATTAAACTGTTCTGGTGGAACAAACGTACAGAAAATTAATTGAATTAATTTCTGGTTTGAACTGCACACAACACTTCAAATTATTCAGCAGAAAGAGGAGAGAGAAAGTTCTCTGCGTTTTTTCTCCTACTTATTTGTAAACATACATGTAAATGTATTTACATCAAAGTAAGAGAGAACACAACCACATGCATGCTTAGACAGTAGAAACTTACTTATAGAGGCCAGTGATAATGCTGTCTATCATTGCCTTAAAAGAACAAAGATATTCTGGTATGGTTAGTCTTCCATGATAACTTATAATACCTGCTGTTCACTGAAATAGTCCCCAGACTGAGTGGTAGACAGACTTATTTTCTATTAAGATATGAAACAAACCAAGTCCATTTTTCCTCATGTTTGTGCTGATATCAGCAATAAGTCTCAAAATTCTGGTATTACATATTGTGTTTGTTCATTGCCTACTCTTTGGCTGAGGGGCTGTACAGAAGATTAAACATATTCTGCAAAATAGTTCTCAAAATACACTGGTTTTCTCAAATACACTGGTGAATTTTATTCTTAAAACGAAGAAGTTTGCTGGAATATACTCATAGGTGTGACCGCTACTATCTGCGACCGACACTGAATCAGAAAAATATGTTTCACAGCTGTTAGCAGAAACAACCTCGGCACTTAGGAGAAGGGTAATGTACTTTTAGCTTTTGTATAAAAAGGACACAAAATCACAAGAGAAAAAACAAAGCATTACCTCATACCGTTTTCTGAACAGACAAATATGATACAATTAGATAAGCGTGCATTAATTTGATCAGGCTGAAAGCACTAGATGCAAAGCCACATGTGCTGGCATAGAGTAGTAAGCTGTAACAAGCTTTAAAATACTACTGAGGAGGAGGGAGTTCAGAAGTTGTCTAGCAGCATAGTGAATTTAATTAAGGAGGGAGTGGGTTGACTTTCTCCAATTTTTTGAAGTTTCCATTTCTAATGCTTCTCTCTAAAGCTGTTTTACTTAATGACTCTGTTGTAGTCAGACTGAGCCAGCAGAAAAACACAGTTTGCTGGAAAAGGCACATGAATCTCTCTGTGAATCTCTCTGTCCAAAAGAGGCAGCAAAAGCACTGCTTCATATCTGCTCCCTGCAGATCTCATGAAAGCAAAGGAGCTCTGTGGCCCATGGTTTTTGCATTGCTGGCACTTGAATCTGGGCCTAAAACATTAGCTCATTTGGTTTGAACTTTTTGTTTGTTTGGTTTAGCTCTTGTTTATAAGACTTTTACTCAAAGATTTTATAACAGTATAGTAGCATAATATATGCCACAGTAACACAATTAAATGATGATTCAAAAGTACTTCATTTTTCCTTTGTTCTCAAAAACACAGTAAAACCATAACTTGAAATATTTAAAAAGGATCCATACTTTTCTTACAGAATTTCCAAGCAAGTTTTGCATTGCTACTGAAGAGTATCATAGCTGAAAAACAACTGCATCTCTCTTTACAGTCATAACCATATTTACATACACCTGGTGTGACAGTCATAATGGGACAGATTTTTGTCAATTCTTACATGTTTGGCTTTTTTTTTCCTGCAATGTACTGAACCCTAATACTGAAAATCAAATACAACTCAGTCAAAGCTTTTAGACTGTAGGTAGAGAGCAAGAATTACTGAGCTACCATTTTGGAGTCTGAAAGAATACTATGGCCACACAAAAGCTGAGACACAGACAATTGTCTGTAAAGCCAACGTTTCTGAAATTTCAAGTACCTATTTCCATGCATCTGGTAGGCTCTGTGTATTCAAGTCAATTTAATCCACTATGAGAAATCTGGACTGTTCAATCAGCTAAGTTTATCACAAATTCCCAAAAATATTATCAGTAGCTCATTATACATTATAACATTACCTTAACAAATAGAGGAAGTCTGTTTTCTTTGAAGGCAAAAAAACTGAATATGTGATGCTGTCCACTCTTAGTTAGTGGCACCAAATTGCCAAAACAGTCAACATAGATGGGTTTTCCTTCTAATACCTATTGGAAATGAATAAGAAACAAGGTAACAATCACAGTCCTGAGGTTAGGACTCTTCAGCCTAGTTCCACCGTAGCTGCTTGGATCAAATTCTTACATTTCTAAGACCTGTCAGAGTACTTGCAAGGATTGTTATGTACAGTCACCACATTTCAGATTATTAAATTCTAACTGGAATATTTCATCAATATTTCATTCAGTAATACTCGTGTAACACTGTAAATGACCAGGCATGCATTCAGTGTCATGAGTCTGTGCAAATTCTCAATTTCTTTGTTAGTATTTTTTAATGGGATCTTATTTTAGCATACTTTGCTAATATGAGCTTGCAACAATAAAGAAACATTTTCTTCAGCATTCAAACCAGACGTGAAAGGTAAGATAAGCCTGTCTGAATATCATGAATTTTCCGAGTGTTCCTAAACAGTTCAAAAACTTTCTAAACTAGATTACCTATGAATTTGATCTATTAGCAAATCTGTTGCAGTAGGCAAAGTCACTGTGTACTAGTAGATTATGTTCATTTTGACTGAATTCGTGAAGGTCAAGAGCTTTTGAAAATCAGGCCTCTAGCAAATACCTCTCCGAAATGCCTGTGTAACGATGCTGTGCACATCTTTGGATTGCTGCTTGTGTGGCCCCTCCACATGTTTAAATCTCATCTTAACAGTTTTGGAGCCATTTCCTTCAACCAGCCAGTACATTAATACCTCAACATTACTTTCCAGAAATTCAGCCTTCTTATTCAGTTTTATGAGCCTATATTTTATCTAGCTGCTCTGCACAACAAGTGCCTATCAGGGCTTCAGGAATAGTAGAATAAATTTTTTTAAAGGTGGAATTCAACCATGAAAAAAAGAGATCATGTTAAGCAGAAAAAAATGCCATGAATGCAGTAAATGTGTTTTCAATTTCTCATTTCTTCTAAGGAAGCTGAAAGAGTCAGGAAAATAAAACCAAACCAACATTTTAACAGGCAGCTTGTTGGATTCCACATTAGAAAAACCTTCGCTTTGCAGGAATGTATATGAATCTTTTAATATTTGGTAACAAATATGCTGTTGACTGCTTTTTCAGTTATTAATATGTTTTTATGGAGTTACTGGCAGCTGGCTTTTACCTATCCTTTTTGCTGTCTACCCTTTTCCCAACACCTTATTAGTATCAGGGGTTCAGGAAACATAATTGTTCAACAAAGAACACTACCCCACATCTCACCTTTACTTAGATATTGCCTCTAAAAAAACCCCTATGATAATTACTGAGAAATCTGAGTTGTCTCCTGGCAGTCTGTTACAGAACTAATTAAAACTTATGCAATCAATGTGGATCATCACAGAAATGACCACTACGTACACAGGGCTAGTGAGCTACCTGAGGCAAAAAGTCAATTCACATCTGTCACCTCATTTTTAAGTGACTTTTCTAAGTCTTAGATTTTTCATAAACCCTAACCTATGCAAAATTTGTACAGACTATTTTGTTCAAATAAAAGTCATATAAAATGCCTTCTCCTTCTTGCACAACTAGCAATCTCCATAGGTCAGTGTTGTTTCCCTACATAAAAGTAGATTCAATAATAGGTAGTTGGAGGATGCTCTAACTCTGAATCTTTGACTTACTTAAAGAAACGCTGACCCTGACACTAGAAGAAAGGAGAAAGAATTTTTAAGTGCTCATTTAAATAGTAAACCCCAACTTTATTTTATTACGTGATTTCCTAGTATACATGAGCCCAGTTTCTAAGTGTAGCTGTTTAACAAGTCAACCATAAAAAGGCAACTTAGGAAACAGAATTCTTCTAATGCAGTTTTGTCATATACATTTTTAAAGTCTTAGGCCTGTAACAAAGAGCTCAGACTCAACCAACCTATTTCCTCTCTCCTTGAATCTAGCTTACTATTCCACATATTTAAATATTAAATTATATATATATATATATAAAACATTTTGTGAGGACACATTACATGTCTCCTTAAAATGTCATTGATACTACAGAGAAAGCAAAAAAAGCAGCTTTGCCAAATGTAATTCCTTTCTAGAAGTGCAACCAGATGACTGGATTTCTTTATGAGTGAAACACAATCTGGGCTGATCCAGGAAGATGCAAATGCCCAAATATAAACTATAGATTCCAGCTAGCCCTCTGGTCTAGCAAGTCAGTAATGGCCCATTCATTTGCACCTCTGTGCTCCCTTGCATCTTACCATGATAGATGACACTGCATCATAAGAGTATTTGTTAGCACTTGTATTTTTCAGTCTTTGTTCCAATCAGCAGGCAGAAAATATTAGCTTAAAATTAGCATTAGCAAATGCAGAAAACTGTTTAAGATTCATGTACTGTACCTCGACATCCCTGCTTCTGGCAACTTCAGCAAAATTTTCTTGCTGTTCTAGAGTTTTATCCACCTTGTCGTCTGTCATGCAAAAACATCTTAACCGTGCTTCAATGGGATCATGTGATTTGGCAAACACCACAAATTTGGCCATGTAGGGGACGCAGATAATCTCTCTATACACTTGAGAAGCAAAAGTAACAGACTCTTGTGTCTGTCGGCAGTCAATTAACCAAAATCTGTAAAATAAAATGACGAGCTGAATAATCAACACAGAAAGATTTACACAACAAAGTTATAATTTTTCCATTGTGGTAGCACAACTGTCTCTGCATAGTGTGAGAACTGCCTACTGCTAGGGCACATAAATTACCAGAAACCTCAAATCATAGATATATATTGAATGTAGAACATCACTGAAGATGTGGATGCTGAAATTCATGTCTGAAACTTCAACTTCCAGTACAGGTCTCCTTGTGCCAAAAATGATCCAATTCTTCACTGAAAGCTACAGGAGCTTTAGCCTTTCTTTCTTTTCAATTCAGCCCAGAAAAACATTGTCCAGCAACAAAAAAAGCGTAGAATTTCTTTATACCTTTTTTAAGACAACTGAATTATTCTTTTGTAAAGATAACTTGCTTTCACTTAAAATAATTTTTAAAGATCATGAAGATAATTTTAGATAATTTTATTTTCTAAATCCCCAAACAGAAGCGGAAATGCATCACTCAATTCACAGTAAGTAGCATGTATCGCTGTCTTTCTCTGATATCTTTAGTTTCTCTCTGCAGCTGATGACATTTCTTTTAAATAAAATTCTCTTTGTGGGTGGAAAGTATGGTTGTGTTTGGCACCTGTAGGATGAAGAAGGAAGTCATGAGAGGTCAAAGCCACCTCAGAAGCTGATATAATCTACAGGGAGCTTATCGCTTACTGTAGATTACATGACGTTATAACATACAACACAAACCTTTCAAGTCTGATTTCTCTGGTCTTACTCATCTGCAGTTGAGTAATAGTACATATCGTGCTGTGCTTATCTGTAGAACTTTTAACAAACACACTGGTTAAAAAACAGAGCCTGACGGCTTTTGAAGAGAGAAAGCATGTTTGGTACATGAAGGTTGTTGCACACTGATAGTTTACTTTCTTAGCATGCGGGAGAACTATGCTCTGCTGGACTCAAACTGAAGAGACTACATTCTCTGAGAAATCACCTTTATGCTCAAATCATTTTTCCTGTACACAACTGGCTAGTAAGCCAAAGCAGACACTAAATTAAAACAGTAACAACAACAACAGGCACCACACAAAAAACCTTGCAGTTCAGGTAATGGAAAACATCTATGCCTCAGAGTCTGCATTTTAATTTACATGTATTTTAGACTAAAGTATCTGTTTCTCAAGCTCACTTTAGAGAAAATTTGTCTTACAAGCAGGGAAAAAAATCTGCATTATTACTGATTTAATTAGACATAGACACATTACTGTAACTAGCAAACAGTTGGGTACCAGCTGGTTCACAGCAGGGCACAAGGCTAAAAAAAAAATAAAAATGGGTAGATGCACTTTTAGATGAGGGCATAAGTCAAGAAATTCAAGTTAGTTTGTCCTTCAGCAAAGAGGGTAATTCTCTGACTGGTATGAAAAATCTAGTTTCTTCAACAGCATTTAGAATCACATTTGGGTTAAATGCTATTGAACATGCATCTAGATAACAAAGTAGATGTGAAACTCATTGAAATTTTTAAATTAGACTCAGGGTACCTAACGCTACAATAATAATCAATTGTAATGCCATCAGTGAGATTAGGAAACACTCACTACTAGGGTCTCTAATGAGCTGTAGTTCTATAAATTGTCACCCTCGTTCTGGCTGTATTTCATGTGCAATCTGCTGGGGACTTCACAGTTTCAGAGATTTTGAACTCTCAGTCCCCAAATCTGGATCTTAAATTAATCTTTAATTTCTCCCTGTAGAACACTGTAGATGATAGCAGATGACAGTTAAAACGGTTTAAGATCTCCCTCTTGTGGCTGTAATTATTAAAGAAAAATGCTTAACTGAAAAGAAGTGCAGGAAATGTGGATAAGCAAAGCATTGAACTTAACAGGCCAGAAGTTCTGAATTGGGATGTCTAGAAAAATAAAATTTCATTTTTCCTACTGTTACAATTACACTGTAGATTGGATTGCAGGAGCTCAATTCATTTTAATGTAAAATATTATATATTTAATTAAATCTAATAGTAGTAATTGTTGTGCCCACTGAATGTTTACACTGAGGGAAATTAATTGCTTTTCATGGGCCTACTCCTACTTTCAAAGTTATCCAAGTTTCTTTTTAACAGTTTGCAAGATTACAAACCCTAAATTTAAAACTTTCTAACTTTAAAACTTGTAAAGTGTTCTCCAAATGTATTTTCTGTCATAGAGATTTTTTGGTAAAAATCATAGACATAGTAAAAACTAATATACTCTTTTAAAATAAAAACAATGAAATTCTGTTTGCCAGCTACCAGAAAGCCAGCAGTTGAATCTCATTACAAGAACAGATGGTTGGAATAGAATCTTCACGATCACAGTTTGGTACACCTACAAGGCTTTCTGCTCGATTTCTCATTTGTTGGATATGCTGAGAATCTTTTATAAGGTGTATAATGAGCTTCCCAAACAAGGCATTTTCATTTCCATGAAAATTTTCATGTTTCTGCATCTGAGGGAGAAGAGAGAATCTAAACCAAACTAGGTTTTTCTGGTTATCTGAAAATTGACCTGTCCCTCAGATTACTATTTTAGGAAGGAGACCATGTCATTAATTCATTTCTGGGATGATGGCAGGTGCTGAGATGAGAATGACATACTCATTAATTTCTTTCAGCTTGTATGGACTGTACTGCTGACAGCTCTCACACATCCTGCCTGGAGTAGGAGCCTTGTGGCTTCTAAAATAACTGGTCGGTTCATTCAGGGCACAGTCAAAATATCTATGCACCTTCAACTATACTAACTGAAATTGTTTAAAGGAAATACTGAAACAAAATACAGAGGAAAAAGGACATGCATGTTAAAGTAACACTATAAATCTTGTTTTTATAGGTACCTGGCAGACACATTTGTTGTGAAGGAAACACATTCATTAACAAATGTCAGTGGTGTTGTTCCAGTGATGTCTTCCCATTGGGCAGGGGTGGTTCCTCCTGAAATGACAGTGGTGTTTAAAGAACGAAAAACAAGCAAGTCTCCAACCTTCTTGCTACAAAGGTGTAGCAAGCTAATTAACACCTCTGCTCTGGAATGACTCACTAGCACATCTTAGTGTGTAATGCACCTTAAAACACTGGGATCATCTTTGAAGTCAGTTTGGAAATTGACAAAGATGCTTGATGATAACTTTTAAACAGAATAAATGCATGCAGCTAATTGCTCCCTTTTGAATGAAACTACATATGGTATTAATCACTTCAAAGCAAAGGAAACTTGAAGTGTTTGACTCTAATATTTTTCCTCTGATGCACACTGCCACCTTATGTCTGTACCACACTTACTGTGCTAGGCAGAGCTTTTTGGTACTCAAGAAACAGAAGGTGTGTGAGAAATGCAAACACCCCAACCCCAAACTGTACAATTCTGTAATGTCTCTCATTAGCCCAAACAACAAATTGTATTTCTACTATAAAGTAATTGATTAGGAAGTAGTGCACTTTTACAGCCTCTCATCTCAGTCAAGTTTTCACAAAACTTTCCATGTGTATAATCAGTTTAATATATTTACCCCACGATGACTCAAAATTTCAAGAAGCACATGAGAAGAGAAACCTTAGAATTTTCAACTTACCTGTTATGCTGCATAGTAACCTTAGAGTGGGTGTGTCACCTCCATAACCATTCATGATCCCATCACTGGAGGCCTTGGGGACAGGAATTGTCATCGTGATGGGTTTATGGAACTTCCTCCTCCTGGGCTCCAGTGTGACTATAGGACTGAAGGTAGCCTTGTTGCCCAAAATCTTCTTTATAAGTTCAGTATGCATAGGTTGAGCCTTTTCAAAGCAAAAAACAGTAAGAATAGTAACTTGAAAACAGAGTACGTGAGGAACTGGATCTGTATATTGCTGGAAACGTTATAGCTGTTCCATTAGATGGCACAGTTTCCCTGCAAGTTGACAACTGACTGTCACAGAGAAAGGGAGTCCTCTATTCAACAATTTCTTACACCTCACTCCTCCTGTTCCTATTGCCTTTCCTAGCACTGTCATCACTACCAGTTTAATGCATTTAACCTATAGTAAATATAACTCTGCTGTTAGGTTGTTTTGTTTTGTTTTCTCCTGAGGACAAACTTTAAACTGTTTTAGCAAGCTACTCAGCTTTTTGCAGAAGACTACAACAATCACAGTAGCCTGACCAAGGTAAATGGTGGATCCATTCAGCAGCTTCAGCAGGAAGCATGGATGTAGTAGGTGGGGGGGTGTGGGAACCACCTCTCCCTTTCAGTAGCGAACAACTTGGTGTTTCTTCTGAGATCATATAGATGGCTAAAAGACAAGAATCTGCATAACTAGAATACCCAAATCTTTATAACTTTGATTTTCGCAATGAATTTTAGTAAGCACATTGTAGGCAACAATATACAATACAATAAGCTGTATATGGGTGACTTTACAGTCTGAAAAAAAACCAACATATATATCCTTCTAATTGTTTCATTGTACCTGGAGGCCAACACGAATTCGTTTGGTTAAAGCCCCTTCTGGGAAGACTGCCTGCACTTGTGGTACAACAGTGCTGCTCAGCACACCCCCCTCAGGTCCAATAAGGTTGCTGTCCTGTTTGATTCGAGACACCACTGCAAAGTACTGAGGGAAATCACGAGTGATGATGCGGCAGATACGTTTCTTCTCAAGTTCTTCTGGTGTGTCAAGTACTGATGCAAAAGAGAAGATGGTCAGGAAACAAGGTTTTCATAGAAGCAATACAGAAGATCCCAGCAGTCACAGTTTAACTAGTACTTATAGAAGTAAAATGAAACATCTCAACATTTTAAGCTCAGCTAAAATAGAGAAATCAAAAGAGGAATATACACATTCAACAACTAACTGAATGAAGCTTAAAACTCATAACATGTTGATAGCTTGCTCCAAATTAGCAGGCAAAGAAGCTAAGAGGAGGACTGGTCAGAGGCCTTTTCCACTTAATGTTATACTAGAGCTTGGACTTGCAGTAAGGACACAGAATTCTAAATCAAAGAAGTATCAGAGTATATGTGAACCTTTAAATATGCAAGTTGGCTCATTGTTATTAATAAAAAAAAATCCATCAAAATTAATATCAATTCTAGGATCTGCAGGTCCTAGACAACCCCAGTCCATTCTGTTCTCTCAGTAAATGAGTACCCATGAGTGACAGTTCCTCCCACACTTGCAGCTGCTTGGAAAGGATTAGTATGATAATTGCCTTGTTTTGGAAAGATATTTGATATGGGAGCTTTTTGTTTAAAACTGTGAAAAGAAGCAGGAAGATATATAACTTTAACATCTATTTTCAACTTTACGATGAGTAGATTCAGTCTACTTCAGTAGACCATGCAAGAAAAGCAGTGCTTCTGCTAGCAGTGTTCTAAAAAATGATTGTACTCCAGTATGACTATAGCAAAGTATCTGGAGTGTATGTCAGAAGTTCTCAGAGTAGACTAAACACGAGGTGCAAAACAGAAAAGATGGTAAAATGTTATTGTTCCCAGTAACAGATGTAGTAATGCAGGAGCAGAAAAAAAAAAAAAAAAAAAAAAAAGCATCGCACTGGATACCTTCATCCATCCCATTCAAGATTTCATTTAGTTCATCCTCAGTGTATTCACAAAAATGTTCCTTCCAGCTGTCCCCGTTCTCACTGCGCAGGATCACCAGTTCTCTCTCTTTCCCACGCAGAGCAGCAAAATGGGGAATCTCCACAATCACAGGCCTGGCACAGCAACACAGCGCATTAAATGCACACGGGAGAGAGGAAGAAACAGGATTAACAGCAACTCTATTCAGTCTGCTACAAAGTGACCTGGAATTCTACCCATTCTCTGGACTACTTTTGCATAATCCTAAACTAAACATCACTAACACACATTAGATTTTCACAGGGACCCAGTAAATGCTGAAGGACAGATTCAAAAGTGCATTCACCTCTTTCCACAGTGTGAATGGTATTTGGCTTAAAGAGAAATTTGAGAATTGTTTTGCAAATTTGTTCAAAACTCATCCTCATTTTAGTTGTCACTACTGTCTGGGTTAACCTGTGCAACTTCATTTCAAAGAGAATCTACTGTAATGCATATCAATAGTGGGACAAATTCTGATCTCACTTATAGTAGTGCAAATCAGAATAACTTCATTGCAATAAGTGGGCAACTGTGTCCTGTGTCAATTTTACTTTAGTTGTTCTATAAGTTCCAATGAATTTATTCTGGATTTGCACTCTGGGAGAGAGAAAGGATGTCTGAGAAGATAATCTAGGTTTCTATTTATGAACAGGAGATAAGAATTTGCCTTGTCTTACAAGCAGATGTCAATATAGGTATCAATATATGTGTGCATATATATTTATATGTATCAAGTAAATATACACACATGTGTACATACAATATATTTATAAGCACATAAAAATACATACTCTTGAAAATAAGAGAGAAAATATAAATATATTTGTATATACAGTTCTCTAATTAGAGTACCCACATAGGTTACCATATACATAGCAAATGCCATCTGTTCTATTATACTGGTGGTATTTAACATGTATCTTACTCCTTAGTACTTGAAAAAAAAAATCCTAAATTTACAGTAGATTCTTTTTCTTGGTCACAATCCAGGTTGCTTTGCTACAGACATCAAGCACATAACTAGGAAGATCTCATGCCAAAACAAAAATGAAGGCCACAGTGCTTTAAGAAAAAGATACAAACATACCACTAAAACAAAACCACATACCACAAGGGTCGAAAATGATCCACTAAGGGTTGGGTATACAAAATTTCAAATCATAGAAAGGGACAATATCATGTGCACAATGACACACACAAAAAAATCATATTGCAAAAGGAGAAGAATGAGGAGGTCAGCATCCATCAATTTGTTTCAAGTCTCTCCTACCCAAGGAATTTGGTCCCAGGAGGCCCCAGCTGAAGGATTCGGCTGACCAAGCTTTCTCCCTCATTAAGTGGGGGAGGAGCCGTAGGCAGATGAAGTTTACTGAGTACATCCAAAGCAGCAGTGAAAGAAAGAACATAAATAAACTTTATGTATTTTTTTTTGCCAGAATGCCAGTGCCACTGTCTGATCCACAGAGTGGAATTAGGCTCTACACTGAATAAGGTTCCATCCTAGAGATGCCAATTTGGTGATCAAAATCAGCAGAATGTGTTTAATTAGTTTAGGATCTCTTCTTGCTCCAAGAAAACAATGGGAATTTTTGCAGTGAACTCAATGGGAACAGGATTTGTATCTTGCAATGCATCTCTGCAGTCAGTACAGTCATTTCCTGATCTCGCTGTCAGTACAACATATACGAAAATGCTTTCAGGGAAAGCTCTGAGAAAGAATAACACCCTGCTGTACCCCAATCTTTCAGATGAGACATTCTCGTTAGACAGAAAAACCATTAAAAAAAAAGTAGGAGAGATGCTCAAGGTTGTTTTATGTGTGGGAAGACTAAATGTGACAGCACAATATTTCTTCTGCTCTTTAGATTTTGTTCTGCTTCTTTTTAAAAAATGACCAAAGAGTGAAACAAGTAAGGGGTACAAAGCATCTCATTAGATGTTTATTTGTGATATTAACAGGTATCCTAGCTGTGAAAAGAAATGGCTGGCTTGGTCTTCATATTAAATTCTCAGGTGCTCCAGAACTGCTTTTGCTTTTTTATCAGATTAGAGCAGCAACGAAGTGGTCAAAACATGCCTCGAGTCTGGTGTTCATTCACACTACATATAAAAGCAGTGGGCAGTTAAAAACTACTAATCAACTTTTTTTCTCTGCTTAATCTCAATATTTCAGAAAAATCATTAACAATGATAGTGGCTCTGATAGCTGCCTATTACAACAGCATTTTAAAGCAACTGATTTATTTTGATGACTTTAAACCATTGCAGTTTATAGGGTCACTTTTTTCAATTTCTGAATGAGGTTGTTTTTTACTGTAATAGTAGGGGTTCCGTTCCTTCGGTCATCCACTCTTGGACGCCACAGCTGATATGGAGAATATTTAGTAAGACAAATTAAAAAAAAATATGGGTAATTGCTGCTTTCAGCTGAAAATTGCTAAAACAAGTTCTGCAGCTGACACAAATCTGATCTTTCTATGGTTTTTGCAGCATAGGACGAAATAAATGACCTGGAATTCTGTGGTTGTCCTATTACTTAATTTAGCAATTTCAAACCTAGAAAAATCAAAGGTACTGTGCTTCCCTGATAGCCCAAACTTCTGATAACACAACACAAGCTTCTCAGATATGCAGCTGTAACCTGTGTTGTATTTGAAGCAGGCTTTATATCAGTGCTGTGCTATTCACACCTAATAGGCAGATTATTTAATTATTTGTTAGTTTGAACATATTTAAATATACTATGAACAGCCTTTTCTGGCTGCAAACAGATTTTCCCACTAAAATATTACAACATTTACTTAGTAATAATTAAGCCCAGGAAAGCATTTCAACCTTAGTGCAAGAGGTTAAAAAAATCAGTTTGCAAAGGAAAAGGCTTAAAAAAACTTTGTGCATTGAAAACTAACTGAAGACTTGCATTTCACACAAGCAGTCTGTTAGCATATATCAGAATAATCTTCTTCTGTTCAAATCTTGGAAGAGGAACCATTTCAGTGCAACTTGCAAACATGAAAACATACCGAACATTTTCCTTTAGGCCACATGGCACCCCTTACCCAAGAAACTGGGCCCCAGATGGTCCCACTTCGATGAGACGGCTGGCCAGGCCTTCCCCTTCCACCATGGGAGGCATGGTGGCCAGTCTGTGACGTTTCACCAAGCGGCAGGTCACTCGTGTTGGAGCAGTGCATTTCCGCGGAGGAATAATAATTCTCAGTCCGTTATGTCTGCAGCCCCTCATGGCACCCCCACGAGCATCCACCATGAAACTAACTAGGAAGCTGAAAAGTCAGGAAAAATTATTAGATTCAAAAGCATATCAACATGCCCTGTGATTATGTTTCACATACGTAACAAATACAAATACAGCTCTCTCTCTAGGAACGCATGATTAGAAAAAGCCCTTCTCCCATGTGAAGCGCTAAAGCATGCTACGATCATTTATTACTTAAACTGACAACTAGCATCTAAGAGTTCTCCACTGAAACAGTCTTACGTTACATTGCTGCTGTTGGTAGAAGTACCAGCAGTCACTGATAGATGTGTGTGAGCTTTGGGGCGTTGGAGTGCACACACGTCTATATATATTGGAAAAAGGTAATTGCAAATATCACTACTGTGTACGTGTGAGCATCTATAATGCAAAATTGGCATTCTTGTAAGTATTTTACAAACTAGTATACCTTAAAATAATTTATTTTATTTATTAAAGCAAATTCTGAACAATTTTCAGATTAAATTCTCCGATTGAAAAAAAAAATTTCATTCTAGAGTGTGTGGACGCAGTTCTTAGAAATCACTGAAGCTATCACTGATTTATGTCAAAAACTCAGTTTCTTTAATTTTAATCTCTTATAAGAAAGAACTTTTCCCTTAATAATAAGATTGTTGAAAGATATGTTTTAAGGTAGGAGAAAGCACTACAAAAAAAAAAAAGTGACTGTTTAACACTAGGTTTAGAGACCTCCTTTTTTTTTCCTTACCCTGTGGCAAGAGATTATTAAAAAAAGTTAGGAAATTACAAATAAATTATGAAAAAATAATGGTGGATAAGATGTTGAACCAATCAAAATCCTTGATTTATTAAAGAAATAATCCTCCATGCCATTAAAGAATGAATTTCAAACAGGAGTGGGGATGGACTGACAGCATGTCATTATCACTTGAAGACAAATTTGGATTTTGTTGAGCTGACAATGGCTGCCAGGTATTATATAGGAGTTTTACTTATCAATTTTTGTCTTTTTGTGCTACTTTGCACATCAATACTATGTCCCAGTGGAAACCTTATAGCTACAGGCAGTAGCACAAGATAAATTCTTATATCTTTTTCTTAAGAGAGATAAAAACATGTTGTGGAATTTCTTACTGGCTGAACTTCCTGTAGTTCCATATATAACCAAGAGACAGATTTTGAAAGATGTGCTACAAAGATTAGGGAAATTCCTGGGAAAAGTATAGAACTACTTCAATTTTTTTACTGGTATATGACTTGGAATCATTCCTGATGCAGAACGGGAATGTCAGGTTGCTGGAAGTGAAAATTAGAGTAGATGAGACAGAACGATATCAGGCCTACTTCTAGACACTAAAATAGAATCACCACAGGGGGAGTCGCAGAAATGCTACTGAAGGACCTGCAATAGAGAAAAGCCCTTATAGTGTGAGTTACAAATACAGGTATTTTTCCCACTGTCCCCTTGACCATTCTGTGCAGCAAACATTGCATCCGTTCAATATCCACACAGCTACAAGTAATTTCACATGCTGTAAAAACACAACACTCAACACACACCGTGCAAGTCAGAAAAATGGATGATGGGAAGGAGCCACAAGTGCCAGTCAGAAGCACACCATGCATCATGGATGCCAGTCTTTCTCACACATGCAGTCTCCTATTCTACTGCCATTCATATACCTCTAGGTTTTGTTAAGTGTAAAAGTCTGGGTAGTACAACCATTATCTCATTCCTTAGAGGTTGGTGTTTCTGTGGTTTTAACAAGGGGGAAAAGAAAGAAAATGAAAACATTTTATGGCTTTGATTCTCTGGGGATTAATTTAGAAAAAATGGGAGTTTCCTTCACAAAATACATACTTCATACATTTTAAAGCACAGATGAAAGAAGAGCTTAACAGATACTAAATGCTCAATTGTTGCAATAATGCTCTGCAGTTTGCATTGCAATTTTCCTTTAACTGTAGGAAGTGGTGTCATCAAAGTGTTTTGAATTATGTTTCAGAGAATTGCTCCAATTCTCTATTATAATGGGTGCTTTAATAACACAGAGTTCTCAAAGAAGAGATTCACATTTCGGTGCTAATACTATGAGCAACAGAAATACTACCCCCCTAATTACCAGAAGCTGATGAGTACACTTACTGAATTAAACAAGCATTCACATTTTTGATTGTGTAAGCTGTCAGGAATACAGTGTTTGTGATTCATTTATTAGTCATTATTGACATAATACTCAAGATGGCATACATTAACAGGATCATCTTCCTTTTCTGTCCATCACTGAAAATACCAGTGCTAGTTCACCTCTCTGTCTTATATCCACCTCAACTTATCTCCCTGTGGCTCAGCAATGCCAAGAACACTGCTGCTAGAACACTTCACTTCTAGAAGAATACATACACACAAAAGAGAAGGGTCCAAAGCTAATAATCTAATAATCTCACTTCTGACCATAGTAATGGATGTTAGGGGGAAGTTCTATACAAGGAGAGTGGTTAGGCCCTGGAACGGGCTGCCCAGGGAGGTTGTGGATGCCCCGTCCTTGGATGTGTTCAAGGCCAGGTTGGACGGGGTCCTGGGCAACCTGATCTGAATGTGTGTGTTTGGTGGCCCTGCTAGGCAGGGGGGTTGCAACTACATGATCCTTGAGGTCCCTTCCAACCCGGGTGGTTCTGTGATTCTGTGTGTGATTCTGTAATGGCTTCTGTTCCTTATAGTATGATGCTTTTTTTCCTCTGCACCACTCAGACTTACTTAAAGACAAGCAGAGTGCAGGATCAGTAGTGCTTTCTCACAAAGCACATATAACACAATCCAGATTACTACCCTATGTAGTGTATGACCAACATAAAAGCTGGATCAGGAGTAGTCTTTAAATTCAAACATCGGTAAGAGCCTGGTATTTAATTCCCCCCTCCAGTAATAACCCTGTGTTCCCACGCTGCAATACTCATAATACAGACCAACTAAAAATCAAACATGGCATTTCTCTTTAGTACACTCTTGAGATGTAAAGCAATAGCTGTGTGTGTTCAGTCTTTAATTAAAGTTGCAACTGTTTCTTTCAGTTTAAGTTTACTGAATTTGTCTAGCAGCCAAAGCACATCAGAGCAAGGTCTCTCAGTTATCTGCCATTGAAAGCAACTAGCACTTCAAAGAGTGGAAGAATGGGCAAAGGTCTCTCAAAGTAGGACACAAAGATAATAATGATGATGAGAAAAAAAGTCAGATATTATTTACTATAAAAGCAGCTGTTTCTATCATACAGAATATCTAACATATTTAACAAATAACAAGATAAAATCTAGCAAACGTGGAATGTTCATCACAGTATATAGCAAAAAATATATTTGTACTGTATCTCTGAAACAGACCCCCAGATGAAATGGGAGATTTCTGAAGGGTGCCGTGGCTTCTGGCTATATAGCAAATTCAGGCAAACACAGCCTAGTGTGAAGACAGCAGAGAAGGAACGGTGCCAATTATCATACAAAAAATATGCAACAGCTAGTACACAAAAAGCAGCTATTCACCACTGTGAAATTTGAGGCAAACTGATTTTGAGGAACTAGGAAGAGATAGCATTAACACAGTACAAAAGAAAGCAAGCAAAGGGGAAAAAGTTCCCAGTTCAACAAGCCACATCTTAAGAGTCTGAAAAGACAGCATACAGCTGTAGGATTTCTAGAGCTGGCAAGAATGTGGAATTATATTCTTTTTTGCCTTTCCACCCTGTTTCTTAAGTTTTTGCTGAACTCATTTTTTTACCCATTTATTTAGTCCAATTTATTTTAACCTTTTAAATTAGCACAATCCACATTGGTTTGCATATTTACACGCAGTAGAGTTAAGAAAATAATTTATAACAAAGTATTTTCTGAATCATAGCAGCATCCTTTTCCATTTACTTGCTCTATAGAAAGGCATCAGGACTGTGATGTTACTGTTCCAGGACTAGAAAGTCTTTGTTTTGAGGGACTGTGTGTATCAATATCAAAGATATTCATACAAAACTATGGATGATATTAATAAAACACACTTTCTGAAACACATGTGAGAGTGGAAAAAAAATATATGACTAATATAAAGAAAAAATAATATTCAGATTAACTATTTGCTCCTTCCTCACTATTTCTTCTCTCCCTAATGTTTCTTCTACCAGAAGTAAAGTGGCAAGACTAAGGTAGGAAGAGATTCTTACTCAAAAGAAGAAACAAACCCAGCAGGAGCACTGGCAGATATTAAGCCACCACTGGAATTAGTGGTACTTTATCATTGTAAGTTTCTAAGGTCAAAAAGAAAATAATAAATAGTACTGGAGTACGAAAAGCCCTAACACCATATATACTTCTTCTGGTCATGTGAGCTGGACATTGCAAAAAAAAGTTACTTTGGACTAAACACGAAACTTTACTTCATCTCTCAACTGCAGAAAGAAGTACAAGCATCTATGTACAGAAAATGAAGATAAGAGGGGTGCTTAAAATGAAACACAAATAGCTGTGAAGAGCCCAGAATAAAAATACAAATGAAAGAAAGAAAAAATGTTAATAGGATTAAAGGGCATCAGAAAGCTCTTACAGACTTTCACCAGAAAAGGAGAGGAAAATGGCATTCTGAGAAAAATTAGGCAGATGTATGCTTCTATGATAATCTATTGTAGTTTTAAAAATTAGAAGAAGGGAAGATAAAAGAGAAGATAAAATGATAATAACAACAACTTACAGGAACTCCACAGAAATACAATAGCTACAATTTTCAGAAGGGCACAATAGAGGAAGGAAAACATTAGCAGGGATTAATACAGTTAAGGAGAACTGAGGTAAAACTGAGCAGATGGAAAACAATATAAATAGCAAAAAACATTTGGGCAGTTGAAAATGTTTCTGTGAGTCATTTAAAAGGCAGCCAAAATCAATGAACTGATTGATCAAGCCATAGAACAAATTGTCACGTAACCTTCATCAGAAAAAGTCTACTTTAGAGCACATTTTAGATGTCTTTCCCATGATAGCTAGATGCTGCGGAGGCATCCTTCTTAA